TTCCAGGCTGATTCCCCCTGAACTGTTGTGGGATATTTTTACACTGTATTGCTGTTGTTGGTGTAATAAAAAGTTGAATGGACAATAGCTAGGCAGGAGATATAGGCAGGATTTCCAGGGAAAGATAGGAGGAAGAGGAGAAATCTAGGCCCACGGGAGACACCCGGAGAAATGGAAAGGAAACAGGAGGTACAAGATGGAAGAGAGGTAATGCCAAGTGACAGAACATAGATTAATATAAATGGGTTAATTTAAGCTATAACACCGAGTTAGAAACACGCCTAAGTTATACGTTGAGCTATCATAATCAAGAAGTCACCACGTCATCATTTGGGAGCTGGCTGAAAGGACAAAGAAAGACTTGTTACACTAGATTTCACTTAAAGCAAGGTGCTTTTTTAAGTTCCTGTTATGATCAAAAGTTTCATCTCTAAATTCATCATTGAAGGAGATGTGGAAAAAAATAATTAAGTGGGTGCAAGGTACAAGTGAATGTATGACTCATAGTTCACAAAGTAAAATGATTTTGGGAAAAGGCACAGGAAGGAGAGGAGCAAATAATGGATTCTGAATGAAATGAAGACCTTTCGTGTCCAAGGACTGTCACCAGCTCTTTATTACTTGAGGATTAAGGGAATAGTGAATAAAGCTGCCTGCCAGACAGCTAAAAAGGTAAAAATAACATTATCTCTATGTGCGCCTCACTTGAAAATTTTCAGAAATAACATTCATAAAATTAAACTTTCTATTAAAAGTTCCTGGAATATCAAACTGAGATCAGAACAGTGGAAATGTCAAAATAAAATAGGATTCATTTTTTCCCAAGAACCTGAACAAAATGAAACAACAGTGTGGGTCAAGTTGTAGAATCACCTATGTTTGCTCCATTTAGTTGTGAGCAAAGAAAGTATAGTAAAGATTTACTAGTGAAGTTGGTACGGTTTCTTTTTGTTTCTTTTTCTACTACATGGGTAAGTACAAAATAAATGTTATTACTCCCAGGTGAGAACAGCAAACTGACAAAATGTGCTTCATTGTTGAAGTCCAGAAATACAATAGAAGCCACTCACATGCAGTCCCCACCGGATATTTTCGCTTCTCTGTATGTGTGCATAAGATACAACATATATATTTCAATAATTTAAGTATATTTAGAACTAATTCCCAGTCCCCTGGCTAAAATGATGCATAAGTTGTACTTTAACATGGACTTTTTATCTTTCCATTATCAATCTGTATGGGAAATAAAATTTTTCCTGATGAAGTTGTATGCAAGAGTATGTTTTACACTTTGTGAATGTATTTAAGTTAAAATGTACAATTATTTAGAGTTCCTACTATTTGACAGCATTCACTGAAGGCTTTACATACATGAACTCTTCTGAAAAGGCCAGAAAAAAAATGTTAATTATTTAATTCCTGGGGTAAGTTAAGAAATACTTTTATGATAAAACAAATATGCCATCTATCACTGGTATTTGCTTTTACTTAAGGAAATCTCTAAAAAATAGTAAAGAATGCAAAGATTCTGTTTGTGCCTGCACTGTCCAAGCTACACATAATTCTAGAATACTTGCTCTTGACCACGAAGCAACATGTCTCCAATATACTGGGAGAAGCAATGTGTGATTTTTTTCCCCCACTTTATTATTGCTATTACTGAAAGAGCATCTCACTATGTAGACCTGGCTAGCCTCAAACTCATAGAGAGCTACCTGGTTCTACCTCCCAAACTATGGGATTAAAGGAATAAACCAGTAGGTCCAGCCTTAGGAATGCTTTTAAAATGAAAGGACCCTTCTCCCTTTCCCCTCTCCTTCCACCATTCCCCCATACCCCCCATGTTTTCAGGAGATCTTGTCTGTTTCCCCTTTGGAAAGGGATTCATATATATTTCTCTTAGAGTTCTCCTTATTACCTAGCTTCTTTGGGATCGTTTACTTTGTTTTTCTTCACTTTACATCTACTATCCACTTATGAGTGAGTACATAACATGTTTGTTTATCTGGATCTGGGTTAGCTCACTCATGACGTTTTTTCTAGTTTCATCCATTTGCAGGCAAAGGACTGATAGCAGGGGAACCTGCATAGAATCAAACTAGGTCCATTGAATGTGGGGGATAGTTGTGAGGCTTGGGCAGTCTATGGGGGCATTGGTAGCGAGACCAGGATTTATCCCTAGTGCTTGAACTAGTGTCTTGGAGCACATTCTCTTCAGAGGGATACCTTGCTAAGCCTAGACATAGTGGGGAGGGCCTTGGTCTTGCCTCAAAGTGAAGTGTCAAACTTTGTTGACTCCCCATGGGAAGCCTTACCCTTGTGGGAGGAAGGGAGGGAGTAGGAACAGGGATAGCTATGCGAAATGAGAAAAGACTGTACTAAAAAATTATTAAGAAAAAAAGAAAAATGAAAGAAAATGAAAGGACTAACTTAAATACATAAATATAGAGAGATATATATAGTAAATTATCATAAGGTTATATGTGTAACATCTATATAATCTCCCTATATATTAACATGTTTCACACAAAATTTCTTTTGGTCCTGCCTACAAAACTACTAGTAAGATAGGGATGATGGTTAATTTCATGTATCAATATAATCAAGTCAAAGTGTCCAAAATGTGATCAAACATTAGTCTAGAAGTTTCTGTGAAGTTAGTATTAGAAAAATAGAAATATTTGAATTGGCAGGCTCTAAGCAAAACAAATAATTACCTTCCATAATATGGACAGAAAAAAAAAAAACTTACTAGAACAAACTGAATGAGAAATACTGCCATTCTTTTGTCCTTAAGAAGTTACTTCCCGCCGGGTGGTGGTGGCGCATGCCTTTAATCCCAGCACTCAGAGGGCAGAGGCAGGCGGATCTCTGTGAGTTCGAGGCCAGCCTGGTCTACAAGGGGACAGGCACCAAAGCTACAGAGAAACCCTGTCTCGAAAATTCAAAAAAAAAAGAAGTTACTTCCCTGGGTCTCCAACCTGTCAACCACTCCTGTAGATAAAGGACTCTATAACTTGTATATGTCAATTCTGTAAAATCTCTCCATCTCTCTCCTACCCTCCATCTCCCCTTAGCACTCTCACTCTCCCTACTACCCTCCTTCCCTCCCCTACTCCACATCACAGTCTTCCCTCATCTGCCATTCACTTCCTAGAATTTCAGTCACACAGAGAAGTTTGTCCAGATGTCAGTGATTCTAACTTTAAACTGCCCAGCCATGAAGTAGAATGAGAAGAATCTCATGCCAACCTATTTTTCTCACCCCATCTAAGACATTGAATCCACATTATATATGCTACCTACTGTCTAATGCTTATCATCTGCCTTTATTATCTGTGCTGCTTGTAATTAAGAAACCCTTCATGTACTACATCATGGCCTCTAAATTCGAGTACTGTGATACTGGAATTCAGACATGCCAAAGTGAAGTCAAAAAGTAAGTGAAGAGGTAAAAAGTCATGACTTAATAAGGAAAGACAAACATGATTGCTACAGTTGCTAAGATCTATAGTAATAGTAAGAATTACTAGGCACAGGTATACACACACACACACACACACACACAGTTTGACACCACGTTTCCTAGCACACAAAGAGTATTAAAACACATCCCTCTGCGAAACAGTGGTATTATTATACAAACACACACACACACACACACACACACAGAGAGAGAAAGAGAGAGAGAAAGAGCACTCAAATAGTAGACATCTAATTTCTTGCCCAAGGGTTAATGTGCTGGAAGCTAGTTCTCTGTTGTGGTAATGTTAAGAGGGCCTTGAATTTCAAACACTGTCCTTGCAGGAGGATTAGGGTCATATTGATCTCAGAAGAAAATGATACTTCTTACATGACATTTGGAATAAACAAATATGACATGAGGTCTCTCCTCATGGTTCAGCTACCCATCTCACCATTCAGTCTCTCTCGTCCATGTGATATGCACAATTCCATTCACTACCCTGTGATACAGACAAGGAAGTCTCCACGATAGCAACTGCCAATGTAGGTGGATTTCCAGCCTCTAATACAGAACTATGCATATCACCTTCCCTTACAATTCATCAAGCTTCAGGTGTTTTATTAGAGAAATAAGGATGCACACACACACACACACACACACACACACACACACACACTCAATTGGTTTAGAATCTCTGGAGAGTTCGGCATGACACAGAAGGGTACTGGAAATGTAGAGCTAAGAAAATAGGAACAGGGATTCAGAACGGAATCTTATCTCTAATCACTCTTTAAAAAGATTATAAAATCCTCAAGAAACTGTTCTGGAATTGAGTTTTCATACTCAACCTCTCAGCAAGTATATATGATTCTGACAGCTGTGATCTGGTAAATAATTTCTCAGATTCTAACCTGCCAATCACTATATAAGAGAATTAAAATCATACATTCACACAAAATCTTGTGTACAAATCTTCATAAAATGTGCAACTATGATAACCAGAAAATAGTAACTAACATAATCAGATCCAAAGACAAATGGCTAGACAAAGCACATTATACCCATATCATGGAAAAACCTACAGTAAAAAAGAACAAAGCAGGGCTGTGGTTGTAGCTCAGTGAGAAAGCACTAACTAGTATGTGTGAAATTCTGGATTTGAGGCCCAAAATCACATGCATGCATGCATATACATACAAATGGATAAAAGTAAAAAAAAAAAAGTCACAACATTCTACAACATGGGTAAATCTTTAAAAAGCAGTAAGTCAAAGAATGTAAGCACAAAACATACTTTAGGTCAATCCAAAATGACATAAAATAGCTTAGGGGTTTTGAAGGTTCAGAGAAAAGTAAACAAAAGACCAATTGCCAATGGATATGAGGCTTATCCATGTACTAAAAAACTCCTAACTAGACGATAGTGATGACTTCATAAGCACATCAATATACTAAATAACACCCAATTATATACTTTTAAATAGTGACTTACAACCCAATAAAAAATGACAGTGATTTTAAAAAATCAACTCACCTGCCCTTTTCGAGGTGCCAAGCAATGAATAACTTCATCCACCATTACTGGAATATGCAGTTTAGCCATGGCTTCAGAATCTTTCTCTGCAGATCTATGATCGCTCCTAGTGCCACCCAGAGCTGTCTCTTCCTGAGATTCATATTCAGTATGCACTGCTGCTGAAGTGTGTATTGCTTGGGGACAGACACCCAAATTAAATGCACTGGACTCCACCCAGCAGTAAAACAGTCCTTTGTACATTCTACAAAAACATGAATATCGAAGCATTCTGAAGATCAAAAAATCTAGAAGAAAAAATAAAAATTGATGATTTGGGGCTTTTAATCTTTTTTATGCACTGGTACTTTGCTTGCACGTATGTCTATGTGAAGATGCCAGATTCCCTGGATTGGAAGCTACAGACAGTTGTGAGCTGCCATGTGGATGCTGGGAATTGAACCCATGTCCTCCTTAAGAGCAGCCAGGGTTCTTAACTGCTGAGTCATCTCTCCAACCCAGTTTCTAATTTTTTTAAAAGACACACTATTTGGGAGAAAGCTCATTAACATAAACTGTTTAATACACAAATGAAACATTTAAGACTCATCATCTAAGCTATCAAAGGTGACTGCCTTCTTCACATGAAACAAGAAACCCAAGTGAACACACAAACATAATTTAAATGTAATTTCTCACTGGGCACCATAACTACATCTACAATTCCAAACCTCAAGCAGGAGGGGTGCTGGAGGACAACCTGAACTGCGAAAAATAATTAACCAATTAATTAAACAAATATAACTTTTACAGTGGCTTTATGAACTCTAAAACCATCCATTTTTACCCCTCATCAGTATGAAAATTGGTAACTCATTTTCTGCAATATAGTTATTAATTAGTTCTAAAGAGTAGATTTAAAAACCTTAAAAATATTTATTTAAAAGTTAAACTTGGTTTATGGCCATAGCACCCAGGGCTCAACCAATCTTGTCTAAAAGTTAAACTAGAGCAGGAAAGAGAATNATATATTTTTTCGAGACAGGGTTTCTCTGTGGTTTTGGAGCCTGTCCTGGAACTAGCTCTTGTAGACCAGGCTGGTCTCGAACTCACAGAGATCCGCCTGCCTCTGCCTCCCGAGTGCTGGGATTAAAGGCGTGTGCCACCACCGCCCGGCTAAGAGAATATATTTTATTTTAGGTTTGGTTCATCTTTTATTTCCTGTTGTTTCACTTATTGTTCTCAGTGCTAAATTAATACATTCAACTTAGCTTTGAGAAGCCTGGCACTGGAAATGAGTAAACATGGAGGCCAGACAAGAAAATATGATCACTGTGAAAATCTTGCAGATTGTCAAAAGGGTCTCTGACAAGACAGCCTCAGCACAACCTGTACCCAGGAAGCACACACTAAGTCAAGCTACAGCTTAACGCTCAACGGGGCACATTTGGGTATTCATTTCTTCCCTCTTCCCTTCAATCCTGGAGATCAAGCCCAGTTTACTCATACCACATAAACAATCAAACGCTAAATACATTTTTATTCCTTTTTTTTTTAAAACTGGGCTAGGTCTTGCTATGGAACCAGGATAATCTCATACTTGATAACTGCCTCAGCTTCCCAAATACTACATGCCATGACACCTTAATATACTTTGGAATTTCATGCTACTATTTTGGTTTGGTTTGTCTGATGTGGGGATGTGGGGTTGGGGGGGGGGGTAAGTGTTCCTTGTTAGCTGGTGTTAGATATTGAACCAGGCAGGGCCTGTGTACACTAAGTTCCCTCTCTACCACTAGACTACACCCCAGATCCCCGTTTTGAGATGTATACACCCTGTAACCTAAAACCAAGCAAACAGATAACACAGTCATTGAGACTCTCAAACTTTCTCATCTTCTGCAATTTGAAATTCTTCTAAATGCAGAAGGAGAAAAGAATACTTACATTAACATATTAACAGAAAAATATTTAAAAGCATTGGTGTTTTGACCAATTGCCTTCAATGTTTATAATACTTCTATAGTAAATACCCAGTTGGTACTTCTCTTCCTTCCTCATGGATTAAGAGTTATTTAAGAATAAGTCCTATGATTTCATGTGCATAAAATCAAATGAACGATAAGTGCTTACCAAGTGTTTCAGTGCAGGGGAGAGGGAGAATACAGACCAGTGAATACATTCCAGATTTCACAAAATAAATGTTTTTATCAATCTCGTCTGATTGCACCCACTAAATTTGCATTTTCAAGTTACTTGAAGAACTATAAATGTCCTATATAAATGTCTCCCTTTCCTTTTGTAATAGAAAGTAAAATAATTCATATGTATTGACGAAAACAGAATGCAATACAAATGTATGTGCATATGTTAAATAGATAGAGCATGAGTAAGATGCTACCCTAAAGGTAACACATCAAATATGCTTTAGAAATAATTCACTGAATTATGTGCCAATAAGAAATAGCAAAAATATGGAGGTGCCAAAGAAACTAGAAATAAAACTCTAAAGTAAATTTCGAGTTCTGAAGCACCAACAAATTTACCAAATTGTTAGTTATTCTTTAAATTCTCCAGATAACTTTAAAAAGCCAAGCACAAGTACCCTTTAATTTGATGGACCTTTTTTCAAGATAATAACTAATTTTTATTCAGCACTAAGTGACAATAACTCTATGTAAAAACTATGTTCTACCTCATGTAATCTATCATAGTTCTTGGAGTTGAGTGTAGTTATTGCTGTATTATAATTGAAGAAACTAAATTGCTTACCCCATATCCAGAGCTATACTCTACAGTGCAAAGGATCTATCTTCAGAACCTAAAATCTTTACTTTCAGTGTTATAAACATAACCCAATGCAACTACTTTAATGTACATATATAATTTAATGGTACACTACACTGACTATGTATATATAGTAGCTCACAAATTATATTTTTAATGGAAAATGCCTCCTATATCTTGGCTTTGCTCTACTTGGAACTAATAGACCAACAAAAGGAACTCCATGCACCAAGCAAAAGAATGGAATCTGGAATATGCAAACAGCCAATACTCTATGTCCTAACAGTTTTAATAACTTATTTTTATCTTTGGTGGTTCAAATGAATACAAGTGCCAATAGAGACTAGAGGCATGGTATTCCCCAAAGCTGGAGCTAGCGGCAGTGGTAGGTAGAATGATCTGGGGGCTGGGAACTGAACTCTGGTCTTCAACAGTACAAACAATCACTGGGCCATGTCTCCAGCCCCTTGTCCAGATTTTAACTGTATTTTTTACAGGAAGCACTGCTGTCAATGAAAAACTCAAAATAATGTGGAAATAAAACAAAAAAAATGGATGCAAAATTGTTTGCATCAGTATTTTATTCTTTATTGTACTCAAATTTTATGCATTCATTTAATTATGTTCAAGGTAAAGCCAAGTTTTTTTACTTGTTTGTTTTTGAGACAGTTTTTTTTCTTTTTTCTTTTTAATTGATTTTACTCAGCTATACATTTTTCACTGCTCCCTTCCCTTCCTCTCCCCTCCCCCTTCTACCCTCTCCCATGGTCCCCATGCTCCCAATTTACTGAGACAGAGTTTCTTTGCACTGCCTTTGCTATCCTGGAACTATCTCTGTAGAGGAGGCTGTCCTAGAACTCGCAGACTTCCACCTACCTCTGCCTCCCTCCCAAGTGCTGGGATTAAAGGGGTGAGCGACTACTGTTTCGAGTCTAATTTTTTTTTCTTGTTATGAACTAACTAGCTTGTAACCGAGGCAAACATGGAGAAGGGTGTGCAAATGATTGTTTGTAGCCTTGAGATTGTTTGTAGGATCCCACTTTGTTGAGATGGTGCCCTAAAAATCATTTTGAGTACAAACTAAAGGAAATTCCATCCTCGTAGCCTCGTCTACCTAGCAAAACAAACAGATCCCTTTGCAACCTCGGAAGGTTGTTTAATTTCTTGCGAGTCAGTAAACCTGGCCTCTAAAGCAGACTGCAGTGTGTTGTAGGGAAATCTTCTCACTCTTCGACACCAGCAAAGTCATCTTAAGTTTGGAGACCACAAAACTGACCAGGTTACTCTTTTAATTGTAGGACTACAAACTGATGACTATAAAGAGAACTTCCTTCGGGCTGCTAACCGTCACTATGATTAGTCTACCCTGAGAGAAAATGTTGTTACAAATGTAATTTTAATGCTAAAAACGCGACCAGCGGGCTGGCGGGGAGGCAGTGGAAAGGGGAGGAAGGCACCCACTGTCATCGGATTCCAGCCAGTCCTGGGCAATCTTCACAGTCAGGCTGACAAGCAGACACCAAGCAGTTGGGGGAGGGGCTTCTACTTCCTTTGCTGGGTGGAGATAGGATTCCCAAAAGCCCTAAACCAAGAGCACCGTCTCCATCCCAGAACTAGCCACTCGCTGCCTTCTCCTCACCTGAGGAAAGAAGAGTCCTCAGTCAGCCTGTAAGTTGGGCCAGCCGCGACACTAAGAAGCAGAAGAGCCTGGACTTGCATACATCTAGGTCGGGGGTGGGGGAAACTTGTCACGACGGACTGATGGGCTCCAATCCGTCGGGGCAACTGAAGTCTGTCTGACTTTCGTTCCGTTGTTCCCAGCACCTGCGGGGGGGAAAAGGTGTTGAGGGGCAAAGGTTTCCAAAAGACCTTCCCAGGAAAATAAGATCTCACCGTTGCCAAGTTGAAACACACTTTTAAGGATTTAAAAGCCAAAAGTCCGTCGCAACCTTAAAAGTAACTTTCACTTTTCTCTTCGGTCGACTAAAAGTTTTGTAATGGCTCCATACATCATCGCCAGTTTCTAACTAAAGATGGAAATTTCGATCTTCTTAGCCCTGCACATTTGGAAAGCTTTGGTTCTTCCCCCCCCCCCCTTTCATTTCGTTAGAAAGCAGGAGGTTCTCTTGTCCTGTTGTTACTTCTGCCAAACTCATGAGTTGCCAACTCCACAATAATGGGAGTGATTGTATTGCCAAAACCGCTGTTTTAATCAAATGCAAGATTCCTCAAGAGTATAGATTGCATAATTTGAACACTACTATAGAGCAAATGCAATGGGGAACTGAAACTAAACTTATAGTATTTGGATTAGGTGTGGCTACACCTGTATCACTAAGAAATCTATACAGTGTGGATGTAAAAAGCAAAAACAGAAATTTATGTGCCTTATTAACCAATTTTGCAAGATGGCAAGATAAACATTTTCAAACTAGATTAAAATATCATTTTATAGACACTTGACAAAAAAGTATTTTAAATACAAATAGCTGGATTTTGGTTTTACAAGACAAATAGAGATTTTTCTAACACTTCAGTTTTCTTGCAATAAAATCAAAACATGTCTCTTTCTTACTGTTTTTGTTGTTGTTTTGGCTTGGCTTCGTTTTTCGAGACAAGGTTGCTCTGTGTATCTCTGGCTGGCTGTCCTAGAACTCACTCTGTAGACCCAGCTGACCTCACACACACAAATCTGCCTGTTTCTGTCTCCCTGTGTGCTGGGATTGAAGGCATGGCCACCACCGCCTGACTCTTAGTCTGTTTTGAGACTAATATGAAGTAATATGTAAGGAGTTAATAATATGCCTGGGACACCAAAGGCCAACTACTATAGATTGAGGGATTTTGTTTTATTTTATTGGTCTTTAGAGACAGAGTTCTCTGTGTATCTTTAGAGCCTGTCCTAGAACTTGCTCTGTAGACCAGGTTGGCCTGGAACTCACAGAAATCCGCTGGTCTCTGCCTCCCGAGTGCCAGTATTAAAGGTATGTGCCACCATCGCCAGGTGTGAAGGAGTATTTAAAATAAAATTAACTCTTCTCAATTTTATTGCCAAACCCAGTACAACACAAATGATGTTATTAGTTGGTACATTTAATTCAACCAAAAATAAGTAGTCACTTTATTGTTGGACTATCCAGGACTAAGGAAAACTCATAGAACATGCATGATATATAGTTTGCAATGTTCCTGATTTTCTTCAATAGAAATAGGGACTCTCCATTATAATCTGTGAGCGATCAACACAAAATTCCACTAACAGTAGCCTGCACTGCTGGGTGTGGTGGTGCACGCCTTTAATCCCAACACTTGGGAGGCAGAGGCAGGCAGATCTCAGTTCTGGGCCAGCCTTAGCTACATAGGCCAGCCAAGACTCTGTCTCAAAACATGAAACAGAGATATGAGAGACAGAGAGAAAGGAAGAGAGAGAGAGAATGAACTATACTGAAACATCCACAATTTTACAGTGATATTCAATCAACTGGAATATAACCTCCAGCAGGGCAGAGACATTGACTTCATTATGGACTAATGTGTTCCTAAAATCATCAAGTAATAATTCCTAAGTAAATGGACAGTCATATAAACAACAGCAATGAAATCAACATCAGAATACTAAATTTATCTCAAGGGCTGAGGATGATGGGGGGCTTGCCTAGCCACAATACAAATATAAAATGCAAAATACCCTGCCAAATTAAAAATGAGTTTCTCACGAAAAATATTTCCCATGTTTCCATGCATTTTTCGTTCTAAAGTATACATTCAGAAATAATACAATCTAGAACAACATTCAGCAACAACCTGGTCGAATAATGTACTAAGCCAATATCATTAAGTGATTTTTTTTTATTTTGTAATGTCGTCCTTGAACATGTAAAAAGCCGTCAAATTACCAAATATTTTCAGTCAGCCATAACGAGAACAGGCCAGGAAGCCCTGACAAGACTTAGGACCTGGAGCCAGAAGTCTTGAACTCATAATTAATTCAGGTAGAAGCCCTATACCTTTCATAGCGTGAGACCTAATCCTTGGAAGCCTGAGTAACCAGAAAGGAAAAAAAGAACAAAATAACCCATGCCCTTTAACACGCCTTCTGCCCCCAAGGGGAAGCACACCACCCCACACCACAGGAACCTACCCACTCCCAGGGTCTGCGACCAAACTAAGGCTCCCAGGTGGCTTCCCACCAGCACCTCCGCCCTAGCTCCGCCCACTCCGCCAGCGGCTCCCGGAAACGATCGCGCGCGTTGCCACGGAGACGCCCAGAAAAGCCGCTTTCCCCCCGCCCCACACACCGGCCTGGGAGGCCCGGCCTCAGGCGCCAAACTGCGAGACGCCTTGGAAACGTCCGACGTGATGACGTCAGCAGAGCGGCAGCCAATGATATACGTCGCTGAGGAAGCTAGCTTGGGTTTGAATTTTGTGGCTGTGCCTGGAGCGCCTGGAAGCCTTCTCCGCCAAGTTTCCGCGGACGCTTTCTCTAGGTGAGTGAGCTGGGCACTGTCTGGGGACGGGTTCTCGGTCTCGGGAGTGGAGGGTCCGGCGGCGGCGTTCAGGTCTGCGGACAGAGGAGCTTTGGGCGCGGAGTGCGGGACCCGGGTCCCCTTGGTCCCCCCGGCGGGAAGGACCCGGGGCTGCCTGTCTGAGGCGGCACGACTCGGCCCGCCGTTGCCAACCCCGAGGTCCCGGGGCTTCGCCTTCGAGCCCCGAGAGGAAGCAGGTCCCTTTAAAGGGTAGCTGGCCCCTTTCCCAGACCTGGACTGAGGGCTCTGACAGTCCAGCCTCCTGGAGTGTGAGGTTCCTTCCGGATTCCAAATTCGGAGTAGCCTGCTTAAGCTGCACACGTCAGTGTGCGACGTCTGTGCTTTACTGTCAGGTGAGGAGCTTTTGCACACAGCGGCTCTCTGGTCACTGGTCAGTCCGGAGCTCAGGTGTAGCAACGGGCGAGACCGGCCCTGACTGCCCACCTGTGTTGCCGAGGACCACAAAGAAAAATAATGAAAGACCTGACGGCAAGGAGCGATTTTTGCAACCCTTTCCTATAGGATCTCGTTGGCCTTGGCCTTACAAAGAAGCTGACTTTGCTGGTGTTGTCATTGCACCTCGCCCAGTTCCCACCTTGGGTTTGCTTTCTTTAACTTTGGTGTTAGACTATGAATTGCACGGAAATGATAACTAGCACTTGCTATTAAATGCACTATATTGTAGGAACTATGTAAGTAAGCGAGAATGATTTGCTATCAGAGGTATGCTCGTTATCGAACCCGTAGTTACAGATATGCAAGGTTTCTCATGTGAAACAGCATCTCGTCCCGCTATAATTATAGCGCAAATCAGTAACGACACGAATAAGTGAGTTTCTGGTGTTAATGCGGTGAAGAGCGATGGAAAAGATAGCCCACTCTCGGTGCTGACCTTCCCTCCGTGGCAGCTTGTCATTCTGCCCTGGTGTCGGTAAGCCAGTCAAATCAGTGGCCCGAACACTGAAGTTAATGTACAGAAAGGTTTATGCCAGAAACTCTTAAGTGAGGAGAGTTCCCTGTTCTAAACAGTGTTGAAGCAGAATTGTATGGGTTTGACATAATTCATAGCTTTGTCATTCTACTTCTGTACCCCTGTTTGGAAGCAGTCTTTTCTCTTTCGTAGTTGTGTATTTTGGATTTGGATCTGGGTCCAGTTTCTGTCTCATTAGTAAAAGCAGTTGGAAAAACTATGTTTATAAACAGACATTGCATGATTATAATGATGGTTGAATGACGTGAATATAAAGCGTTTGCTGTAATTCCTGCCAGAGAGTGACTTATTGTCACCCCTATTGCCATCACCACATTGAAGTAATGCAAGTATTTTAAGCGTAATTGTTAAGAATAGTTACTGCACCCAGGTGGTGGTGGTGCATAGCCAGCTGGTGGTGGCACACATCTTTATACACTGCTTATGTATTCAGAGGTCCAAGTCTTTGGTGTCTTAGTGACATGGAAATTTAAAGAGCATCTGTATATGCATAAAGTGTGGTTGAACTTTATGCCAGTCTCACTGGAACAAAAAGAAACTGACAAAGAACAACAGTGTGAAAAGTTCAACTCTACTATTATCCTTAGAACATCTTATTCCACAGATAACAATAACTTTCTGATTAAACATGGTCTCTGCACTTGATAGAGTCAACTAGATATGAATTTCTTTTTAATAACTTATATATTTTATGTGTGTTGGTGTATATGTCTGTGATAATGATGTCGGATTCCCTGAAACTACAGTTACAGACAGTTGTGAGCTGCCATGTGGGTGCTGGGAATTGAACCAGGGTTCTCTGAAAGAGCAGTCAGTGCTCTTAACCACTGACCCATCTCTCCAGCCCCCTAGATCCCAACTTCTTAGTTACCCATGTTAGAAAAAACAGCATCTCTTCAATGTATAAATAATATCATTAATTTCTGAAGATGTCAGTATCTTGAAGTATTTATTATCTTTAAGAAATGTATATCTGAAAAAAATAAGAAAAAAATGCCGGGCGGTGGTGGCGCACGCCTTTAATCCCAGCACTCGGGAGGCAGAGGCAGGCGGATCTCTGTGAGTTCGAGGCCAGCCTGGCATAGAAGAACTAGTTCCAGGACAGGCTCCAAAGCTACAGAGAAAACCTGTCTCGAAAAAGAAAAAAAGAAGAGGAGGAGGAGGAGGAGGAGGAAAAAGGAAGAAGAAGAAGAAGAAGAAGAAGAAGAAGAAGAAGAAGAAGAAGAAGAAGAAGAAGAAGAAGAAGAACAACAACAACAACAACAACAACAACAACAACAACTGTATATCTGAACCTGGTGGTAGTAGCACATGCCTTTAATCCCAGTACTTGGGAGGCAAAGACAGGCAGATTGCTGAGTTTAGGGTTAAACATATTTTTTGACTCAGTAGGGATATTTTGAGCAAAAGTGATGGGAATATGTGAGGTTATAGGCAAGGTTGATCAAAAAACATTATATACGTGTATGAAATATTCAAATTTTTAAAATGTCTTAAATGTAGTTCTCATTGAGTCAGTGGTCTCTTTGTTATGGACACTGGTATCCAGTTCCTGGGTTTAATCTGTCCTCCTTCAGCCTCCTCAGTAGCTATAAGTACAGGTGTGTCATGGGCCCTATTTGTTTGATTTTTCTATCCACCCTAGGTATTTGATTAAGAAAATTCAACCATGAGTAGAACTCTATGGAAGGGCACAGGTCTTGGGTTCAGTTACTAGTATGGAGGAAAGACAGTTTTCTTTGCTTTCTTGTATTCAGGAAGTAGGAAAATGCATGAATTCTGTAAAATAGGATCAGTCTTCCATTGTTTAAAAGGATAAAACTAGGTAAAGGGAGGCCAATCTTCCAAATTTTTAATGAGATCTAAGAGTTTACCTCTGAATTTGAAGCTAATTGGGGATTTCCTGGGTTTTTTAAAAGGCAGTAAGTATTGGTCAAGTAACATTTTTTTTGGAAGAAATTCTGTCAGTCTCTTAAAGGAACTTAAGAAGAATAATGTCACATGTAACTTTGTGTTTCAACCTGTTACAGATTTTAAGAGAAATTGATCTTATTTCTCATTCCTCTTTGTTCTCTAGCTGGAGAAAGCAAGGAGTCCCTTGAGCATTCTTTGAGCTCTACAGATAAAATTACATCCAGGCATTTGAAAGTAAACAGTTATAAAGGAAATAAATGATTTAATTAAATTGACCATGCCAAAACCTGGCCTTGCAGCTCCATTAGCCTCCCCTTTCACAAGCTTGTTACTGTCACAGAATTTTGGACTTGCCACCTGAAATATACATGTGTGTCCAGTAAAGTGGCTTAGCAGGTAAAGTTACTTGCTGCCAAGTCTGATGACCTGAATGGGATGCTCAGAATCTACAGGAGAGAAGAGAATCAGCTTCTGCATTTGTTCTTAGTTGCCTCGAGTTCTCTGAGTAGCAGCGTGAGGCGTAGTGAGCTTCAGCATAAGGTTGTTGTGGTCCTTGTTCGGTTGATGTTTAGGTAGTCACGGTGAGGCTTTGTGGATATAGCTTCTGATATTCCTAGGAGATATGATCTCGCTGCACATTAAGAGATCAGAGAATAGGACCTCTGAATACATGAGTAGTGTATACTATTTCTCTCCTCTCCAGACATGTGCTGGCTAGCCACTGCAACTTAAGAACTAGCCCACTGTATCTCTGACACGCAGGGAGAGACAGCCTGGATGCATCCTTCCACTTCCAAGAGACTACAGACAAGATCCCTTTTACTAAAAGGAGTTCCCAAGCTAAAATTTCCGTTATTACCCTCATCTGATTCAGAAAGATCTTTCTCTGCTCATTTTCATCATCCAACCTAAAACTGTGTTAGAGCCATTTGAAAAGTCAAATCAGAAAGTGAATCAGCTCTAATGTTTGAGTTTTGTTTAAACTCAAGAACGTGATTAATATTTCAGGAAATTCTTACCATGATTTTGTGTACATGTGTGCCATTTTGGGGAGATGTTTAAGTTTATAGGACTATATACATTTCTCCAGTAATACATTTTCTAGGTAAGTGGAACATAAACATTACCTTTTAAACAACTATTACATGCCAGTTTTAAGTAAAACTAATAGTGACTTTTTCCTGTTTAATTTCAGAAAACTGCCCCAGCATTCATGTGAGCAGGAATCAAGATAACTAAAAATGTCTGTCACTAAGGAGGATTTATGTCACCACATGAAAGTAGTTGTTCGTGTGCGTCCCGAGAACACAAAAGAAAAAACAGTTGCGTTCCATAGAGTGGTTCATGTTATGGATAAACATATGCTCGTTTTTGATCCCAAGCCAGAAGAAGTCAGTTTTTTTCACAAAAAGAAAACTACAAATTTTGATATTACTAAAAGACAAAATAAGGATCTTAAGTTTGTATTTGATGCTGTATTTGATGAAACGTCAACTCAAATGGAAGTTTTTGAACACACTACGAAGCCAATTCTTCATAGTTTTCTGAATGGATATAATTGCACAGGTAATTGTTTCAGCTTGAAGTTGAATTTTTTTTTCTAACTTCAGTTTTAATCTTGTAATAAATCAAATTCAAGGTATAAGCATTCCAATAGTTTTAAGACTTTTAGTAGGGCTGACTATATGTTTCAGTGATTAAGAACACTGACTGCTTTTCCAGAGTACCTGGGTTCAATTCCCAGCACCCACATGGCAGTTAACAACTGTCTATAGCTCCAAGATCTGACACCCTCCAACCAGACATACATAGAGGCAAAACAATAATGCACATAAAACAAAAATAAACAAATTCTATTTTAAAAAGAAAACTTTAGTAAATTTAAGTGCAAGCTTTCTTTGAAATGTAGTCGTACATAGCTTATTCTTAATGAAACTTTCTCTTCCTGGAGCCCTGCCATTGGCCCTATAAACACTCTTTGCAGTTTTATTAAGCCATCTGCTTCTTATAATTGGTGCCAGATTTGTCGCCATTTAAACTGACGAGTATATCCACTGTTGACCTCTACAGTCATCTGCCCCTGTCAAGCAGCCTGCCGTTTCTTTGCAGAACTATCTATAAGATGCCTTAATATGAAAAGGTTAAATAAAACGTGGTAAGCTTGAGAGTTGTGTGCTTTTTAGCAGATCTTCAGCCCAAGAAGCGTTCCTTATACCATGGGGAGGCTATATTTAGTCTTTGAGGAAAGACCAGTTAATTCATTGTCATAATACTAGTATCTCATTTTTTAAATTGTCAGTTGTTATGGGGTTTTCTCTAACATATTCCACATTATAACATGTTTCACTAAGATTGTCTTACTCAGTTTGGTCACAGAAAATTGATACTCTTCATCCTTGATCAAGAACAAAATGCCGTTTATTGGTTGGAACTGCTTGTTCTAACTTGTATCCAAATGTTTTGAAGATTCCTCCCTCATCTTTAAAAAAAAAAAAAAAGATCTCTGTCAATACCATTTCTTTGGTTTCTCTATGGCCTTATACTAATTAGCTGTCTGAAAACTTCTTTCGTAAGCTAAAGTGAAACACCAGCTTAATTCATTCCAAAAACTATTTTATCAGTTATTAATATATGAGAATCTAATGACTGAATATGTATGGTATTGAGTGTTTGCATTTGTAACTCTGGATTTCTTTTACATTTGAAGAAATGCATGACTTCTTGATGGTACTGGATAGAATTGTGCAAATAAGTAATTTGCCTAAAACAATATTTAAGAACAATTTTATAAATCACCTTTATGAAATTCGTTCATTTCAACAAACTTATGCCTGCTTTGCTCCATGTTATTTGCTAAAGCACAGTCTGCCTTGGTAGAGGCAGTATGGTCATGCTACTGTAGAGGGATATGGATAGATATCATATTCTGATGGCAAATAAGTGAGTAGGTGCTTCTGCCTGTCACCGTGTGGGAAGCACACAATAACATTAGTGCTAAGTAGAAACAGGTGATACCTATTGGATCTAAGTTAGTTACTGTTCAGGATATCAGTTAGAGCTAGCACTAGCCTGCATTTAGTATTACTATATAGGAACAGTGAGTGTTGATCTCTCCCCTTTCATTGAAACCTCAGTACTTGCATATGGTGCCACTGGAGCTGGGAAGACTCACACAATGCTAGGATCAGCTGATGAGCCTGGAGTGATGTACCTAACAATGTTAGACCTTTTCAAATCCATGGATGAGATTAAAGAAGAAAAAGTGTGTAGTACTGCAGTTTCTTATTTAGAGGTAAGTTGACACTAACCTCAATATTAATCATTGTCTGAGAAAACTCAGTTACTCAATTGCAATGGTCAATTCAAATTATTTTATGCAGGAATCTTCATGTGAATGTTTTCAGTCATTAAAATTCCTAATTATGTTTTTCATAATCTTACTCTAATTTTAATTTCAAAGTATAGAGACATTGCAAAAATAGTATGTAGAAAGAACTTCCAGAAAACCTTCACTGAGATGCCCTATATGTTAAAATTTTACACCTGCAGTATACTCTCTGTTGTGTGTGCATTTATTATTTGGTACTGTTTAAGGTATAAATTTATTGAACCAGGTAATTTTTAAACCACAATCACGGAATGTTTATCAAAATCAAGAAATTAACAGTGATTATCATTGTCTAATCTATGAACCTTAATGCAATTTTGATAATTATATTATTAATACCTTTTCCAGAAAGTATTTCAGATCATAAATTACATTCATTTGTATGCCTTTGGCTTTCATTTATGAGCAGTTTTTGTTTCCTTTGTACTTTATGATACTGCCATAAGCCCCTCAGTTTGTTTTTGTTTCTATTAGACTTGGTTTATTATCTGGCAGACACACCACAGAAGTGGTACTGTGTACTTCCTACTTGCATCAATTCCCTTGCATACCTGATTGCTCTTATTAGTATGTTAACTTTTATAAATTTTGTTAGGGAATTTTCGGGTTTGCTGATGATTCATATTTGAATATATTATAGATAATGGTGATCTTTAGACACCAACGTTTCTTCTGTTTATTCCTTAGCATTTACTGTAAGGATACCTTTTCCCTTTGTTGCAATCTCATAGACTCGTGGATTATTTAATAGTAAACTGGAGGTATTTTCTGTGATTTGAGGGATGGGAACTTTTTAAATTTTTATGTGATGTGAATGCAGATATGGATGTGAAGACGTCTTTTAGGAATTGATTCTTTCTTTTTTTTTTTTTTTTTTTTTTTTTTTTTTGAGTTGGTTCTGTCTTAGCACCTTGTTGAAGTAGGGAGTCTCTTATTTTTTCCACACTACACCAAGCTATCTGGCTTTCAGGCTTCAGACCTTGCTTACTGTCTCCCTTAGGAGTGCTGACTTTACACATGAACTTCAATGTGTCTGGTGCTTTTTTAAAAAAAAAAAAATAGGACTTCATACAGTACATACTTTATTTCATATCCCATAACTCCCCCAAGATTCTCCCCTCTCCCTATCCACCCAATCTCATGTTCTTGTTCTTAAAAAAGAAAAAGCCACTAAAAACATGGAGTACAAATTATTCCTGAGCATGGACCTGCTCTAGAGTGTAGTTGGTATACCCATTGTCAGTCCTTTGAATAAAACAGAAGTCTGATGTGGGGTTAGTGAAGATCTTTTCCCATTCTGTAGTCTGTCGTTTTGTCTTGTTTACAATGTCCTTTGCTTTACAGAAGCTTTTCAGTTTCACGAGGTTCCATTTATTGATTGTTTCTTTCAGTGTCTGTGCTGCTGGAGTTATATTTAGGAAGTGGTTCTTTGTGCCAGTGGGTTCAAGTGTACTTCCCACTTTCTCTTCTGTAAGGTTCAGTGTGGCTGGCTTTATGTTGAGGTATTTGATCCATTTGGACTTGAGTTTTGTGCATGGTGATATTTTTATTCTTCTACATGTTAATATCTAGTAATGCCAGCACTACTTGTTAAATATGCTTTCTTTTTTCTATTTGATTTTTTTTTGCTTCTTTATCAAAGATCAGGTGTTTGAAGATGTGTGGATTGATATCCGGGTCTTCTATTCATTTCCATTGATCCTCCTGTCTGTTCTTATGCCAATACCAGGCTGTTTTCAGTACTGTAGCTCTGGAATAGAGTTTGAAGTTAGGGATTGTGATGCCTCCAGAAGTTCTTTTATTGTACAGGATTGTTTGGGCTATCCTGGGTTTTTTGCTTTTCCATATGAAGTTGAGTACCGTTCTTTCGGGGTCTTTGAAGAATTTTGCTGGGATTTTGATGGTCAGTGAGAGTTTTACTTCTTTTCCAATCTGTATTCCCTTGATCTCCTTTTGGTGTCTTATTGCTCTAGCTAGGACCTCAAAAACTATATTGAGTAGTGGAGAGAGTGGACAACCTTGTCTTGTTCCTGATTTTAGTAGAATCACTGTGAGTTTTGCTCCATTTAGTTTGATGTTGGCTCTTGGCTTGCTGTATATTGCCTTAATTATGTTTAGGTATGTTCCTTGTATCTCTGTTCGCTCCAAGACCTTCATCATGAAGGGGTGTTGTATTTTGTCAAAAGCTTTTTCAGCATCTAATGAGATGATCATGTGGCTGATGGTTCTGATGTGTTCTTGAATTCGTTTTGCCAGCATTTTCTTTCGTGTTTTTGCATCAGTGTTCATGAGTGAGATTGGTCTGTAATTCTCTTTCTTAGTAATGTCTTTCTGTGGTTTGGGTATTAGGGTAATTGTAGCCTCATAAAACGAGTTTGACAATGTTCCTTCTGTTTCTATTGTGTGGAATAATTTAAGGAGTATTGGTATTAGTTCTTCTTTAAAAGTCTTGTAGAATTCTAAGCTGAAACCATCTGGTCCTGGGCTTTTTTTGGTTGGGAGACTTTTGATGACTGTTTCTATTTCTTCAGCAGTTATAGGTCTGTTTAATTTGCTTATCTGGTCTTGATTTAATTTTGGTAAGTGATATTTGTCCAGAAAGTTGTCCATTTACTTTGTTTTCCAATTTTGTGGAGTACAGGTTTTCAAAATATGACCTGATGATCCTCTGTATTTCCGCTGTGTCTGTTGTTATGTCCCCCTTTTCATTTCTGATTTTGTTAATTTCGATATTGTCTCTCTCTGCCTTTTGGTTAGTTTGGATAAAGGTTTATCTATTGTTGATTTTCTCAAAAAACCAACTCTTTGTCTCATTGATTCTTTGTATTGTTGTCTTTGTTTCTATTTCTTTGATTTCAGCTCTCAATTTGATTATTTCCTGCCGTCCAGTTCTCTTAGGTGAGTTGCTTCTTTTTGTTCTAAAGTTTTCAAATGTCTGTTAATTCACTAGTATGGGATTTTTTTCCAGCTTCTTTATGTGGGCATTTAGTGCTATGAACTTGTCTCTTAACACTGCTTTCCTTGTGTCCCATAAATTTGGGTATGTTGTGTGGTCATTTTCTTTGTATTTTATTTAGGAAGTCTTTAATTTCCCCTTTTATTTCTTTCTTGACCTATTGATGATTCAGGTGAGCATTGTTTAATTTCCTTGTATTTGTGTGTTTTCTGGAATTCGTATTGCTGTTGACTTCTAGTTTTAAACCATGGTGATCTGATAAGGTACATTGGGTTATTCCAATTTTTTTGTATTTGTTGAGGTTTGTTTTTTTACTTAGTATGTGGTCATTTTTTGAGAAGGTTCCATGAGTTGCTGAGAAGAATGTATTTTCTTTTCTGTTTGGATGGAATATTCTATAGATGTCTGTTAAGTCCATTTGAGTTATATCATCTGTTAGTTCTCTTATTTCTTTTTTCATTTTCTGTCTGACCTGTCCATTGGTGAGGGGGGAGTGTTGAAGTCTCCCACTATTAGTGTGTGGAGTTTAATATATGATTTAAGCTTTAAAAATGTTTCTTTGACATATGAGCATGCCCTTGTATTTGGGGCTTAAATGTTCAGTATTGAAATTTCCTCTTGATTGATTTTTTCCTATGACTAATATGAAACGACTTTGTCTCTTTTGACTGATTTTACCTTGAAGTCTATTTTGTTAGATATTAGGATAGCCACACCCGCTTGTTTCTTAGGTCCATTTGATTGGTATATATTTTCCCAACCCTTTACTCTGAGACGACGTCTGTCTTTGAGGTTGAGATGTGTTTCTTCTATGCAGAAGAAGGATGGATTCTGTTTTCATATCCAGTCTGTTAGCCTGTGCCTTTTTATAGGTGAGTTGGGTCCATTTATATTAAGGGATATTAATGACCAGTGGTTGCTATCTCCTGTTAATTTAGTTTTCATCGTTGGTTATGTTATTTTGTGCATTTTTTTTCTTCTTCGGGATTTACTGTTATGCGGTCATCAGTTGTCTATGTTTTTGTTGGTGTAGCCATCTTCCCTGGGTTGGAGTTTTCCTTCTAGTATTTTGTGTAGGGCTGGGTTTGTGTCTAGGTATTGGTGAAATCTAGATTTGTATGGAATATCTTTTTTTGTCCTTCTATGGTGATTGACAGTTTTGCTGGGTATAGTAGTCTGGGCTGGCATCCATGGTCTCTTAATGTCTGCATAATATTTGACCATGATCTTCTGGCTTTCATTGTCTCCACTGAGAAGTCAGGTGTAATTCTGATAGGTCTTTCTTTATATGTTACTTGGCCTTTTTCCTTTGCAGCTCTTAATATTCTTTCTTTACTCTGTATGTTTAGTATTTTGATTATTATGTGGTGGAGAGGACTTTTTGAGGAATCCAATCTATTTGGTGTTCTGTAGGCTTCTTGTATCTTCATGGCATATCTTTCTTTAGGTAGGGCAAGTTTTCTTCTATGATTTTGTTAAATTTTCTGTGCCTTTGAGTTGAACTTCTCCTTCTTCTATACCTATTATCCTAAGATTTGGCCTTTTCATGGTGTCCCATATTTCATGGATTTGGGTTAAGCTTTTGTTAGATTGAATGTTTTCTTTAACCGATGAGTCTATTTCCTCTATTGTATCTTCAGCTCTTGACATTCTCTCTTCCATTTCTTGTATTCTGTTGTTAATGCTTGCTTGCGTTTGTGGTTCCTGATCTTTTTCTCATGATTTCTGTTTCTATAATCCCTTTGGCTTGTGTTCTCTTTATTGTTTCTATTTCAGTTTTCAAGTCCTGGATAGTTATATGTTTGATTTCTTTTCCTTGGTTTTCTTGGAGTGATTTGCTGATATCTTCCAATTTTTTGTTTGTTTCTTTGACTTTTCCGCCACTTCTTTAAGGGAATTTCTCATATCTTCTTTCAGAATTTTAAACATTCTCTTGAAGTTATTTTTAGGTCGTTTTCTTCTGGTTCATCCATAGATTTTTTTTCTTTTTTTCTTATTAGATCTTAATTTCTTATTAAGACCGTGGTCTAACATTATCTCTGTTACATTCTAGAAATAGATCTGTCTATACCTTCACTCCTTGGTTGTAGCTTGTTAGAATCAACAGGTAAGGGCTAGAGAGTTAGTTGACTAGTAAGTTAAGAACTTTTTTTTTTATTCATTAAAGATTTCTGTCTCTTCCCCACCGCCGCCTCCCCTTTCCCTCCCCCTCCCCCAATCAAGTCCCCCTTCCTCGTCCCAAAGAGCAATCAGGGTTCCCTGCCCTGTGGGAAGTCCAAGGAACACCCACCTCCATCCAGGTCTAGTAAGGTGAGCATCCACGAAACTGCCTAGGCTCCCACGAAACCAATAGGTACAGTAGGATCAAAAACCCATTTCCATTGTTCTTGAGGTCTCAGTAGTCCTCATTGTCCACTATGTTCAGCTAGACCGGTTTTAACCCAGGCTTTTTCAGACCCAGGCCAGCTGGCCTTGGTGAGTTCCCGATAGAACATCCCCATTGTCTCAGTGTATGGGTGCACCCCTCGCGGTCCTGAGTTCCTTGCTTGTGCTCTCTCTCCTTCTGCTCCTGATTTGGACCTTGAGATTTCAGTCCGGTGCTCCATTGTGGGTCTCTGTCTCCTTTCATCGCCTGATGAAGGTTAATATTCAGGAGGATGCCTATATGATTTTCTTTGGGTTCTCCTTCTTATTTAGCTTCTCTAAGAACCCGAATTATAGGCTCAATGTCCTTTATTTATGGCTAGAAACCAAATATGAGTGAGTACATCTGATGTTCCTCTTTTTTGGTCTGGCTTACCTCACTCAGGATGGTGTTTTCTACTTCCATCCATTTGCCTGCTAACTTCAAGAAGTCCTTGTTTTTTACTGCTGAGTAGTACTCTAATATGTATATATTCCATACTTTCTTCATCCATTCTTCAATTGAAGGGCATCTAGGTTGTTTCCAGGTTCTGGCTATTACAAACAATGCTGCTATAAACATAGTAGAGCATATATTTTTGTTGTATGATAAGGCCTTTCTTGGGTATATTCCCAAGAGTGGTATTGCTGGGTCCATGGGTAGGTCGATCCCTAATTTCCTAAGAAACCTCCACACTGCTTTCCAGAGTGGTTGCACTAGTTTGCATTCCCACCAGCAATGGATGAGTGTACCCCTTTCTCCACAATCTCTCCAGCAAAGGCTATCATTGGTGTTTTTGATTTTCGCCATTCTGACAGGTGTGAGATGGTATTTTAAAGTTGTCTTGATTTGCATTTCCCTGATCGTTAAGGAAGTTGAGCATGACCTTAAGTGTCTTTTGGCCATTTGAAGTTCTTCTGTTGAGAGATCTCTGTTCAGCTCAGTGCCCCATTTTATAATTGGGTTGATTAGCCTTTTACGGTCTAGTTTCTTGAGTTCTTTATATATTTTGGAGATCAGACCTTTGTCAGTTGCGGGGTTGGTGAAGATCTTCTCCCAGTCAGTGGGTTGCCTTTCTGTCTTAGCAACAGTGTCCTTTGCTTTACAGAAGCTTCTCAGTCTCAAGAGGTCCCATTTATTCAATGAGGCCCTTACTGTCTGTGCTGCTGGGGTTATACGTAGAAAGTGGTCTCCTGTGCCCACGTGTTGTAGAGTACTTCCTACTTTCTCTTCAATCAGGTTCAGTGTGTTTGGACTGATATGAGGTCTTTAATCCACTTGGACTTGAGTTTTGTGCATGGTGATAGATATGGGTCTATTTTCATTCTTCTACAGATTGACATCCAGTTTTGCCAGCACAATTTGTTGAAGATGCTCTCTTTTTTCCATTGTATACTTTTAGCTCCTTTATCGAAAATCAGGTGTTCATAGGTTTGTGGGTTAAAGTCAGGGTCTTCTATTCGATTCCATTGGTCGACTTCTCTGTTTTTATGCCAATACCAAGCTGTTTTCAATACTGAGGCTCTGTAATAGAGTTGGAAGTCAGGGATGGTAATGCCTCCAGACATTCCTTTATTGTATAAGATTGTTTTGGCTATCCTGGGTTTTTTGTTTTTCCATATAAAGTTGATTATTGTCTTCTCCAGATCTGTGAAGAATTTTGATGGGATTTTGATGGGGATTGCATTGAATCTATAGATTGCTTTTGGTAGAATTGCCATTTTTACTATGTTGATCCTCCCAATCCAAGAGCAAGGGAGATCCTTCCATTTTCTGGTGTCCTCTTCTATTTCTTTCTTCAAAGACTTAAAGTTCTTGTCAAATAGATCTTTCACTTCCTTGGTCAGGGTTACCCCAAGATATTTTATGTTCTTTGTGGCTATCGTGAAAGGTGATGCTTCTGTGATTTCCCTCTCTGTTTCCTTATCCTTAGTGTATAGGAAGGCAACTGATTTTTTGGAGTTGATCTTGTATCCTGCCACTTTACTAAAGGTGTTTATCAGCTGTAGGAGTTCTTTGGTAGAGTTTTTGGGGTCGCTTATGTACACTATCATATCATCTGCAACTAACGAAAGCTTAACTTCTTAGAACATTTGTTTCTTACAATGGGCCACGGTTATATTCCCAGCATCCATGTGGCACATAGACATGCATGCAAGTAAAACACTTAACACAAAAAGCAATAAAATAACTAAGTCTTTAAAAAAGAAATTCTCAGGGGAACTGGCTTTCATTGAGAATATTCATTCTACATGGTTGGTTGAAACAGGCAAGAGTAATTGCTATACATTAGACAAATAAGATCTAAAAGAAAGTGTCTGCTAACTTCAACAAATTTATTATGTTTTTAAAATGATGTTATTATTGAATATAAAGACATACCAGAAAAAGAAAAAAAAAAAACATGTGAACTACTAAAACATGAAAAGAAATGGCAGTGCATACATACCTACTATGTCACATTGTAGGAGTCTATGTGCATTTTCTTTTTTATGCTTAGGATCATATCTGGAATGTCATGCATCTTAATAATGCAGAATGCTCTACCAAAAACTTTATCACCAGACAAGAAAAAAAATGTTTTCTTAAAGGTCTGGTTTTCTGATTTTCCTTAAATTTTTTCAGAATTGCTGTTATCATTTTGTTTGCAAACGCTGAATGTTGTGCCTTTACTAGATTCGTAAAATGAAGTCAGCATATTATTTCTAATTATTATTTGTACAAATCTCTTTTACATGATCCTGAAGTTATATACCTAAGATGTGTGCTAAATGTAGGCCATAAAGCTCCAATCCTTATTCTGTTGTTAATTTTATAACCATGGGCAAAGCACTCAGCATCTTAGGTGTTCACAGTTCAGATGAGGGAGACTCATACTAATTGTATGTTAGACTGAAATTGAAGGAGTAAGTGACATAAATATACCTGTTTTTGCCTGGGTTTCTGTTTAACATTTAGTCTCTAAAGTTGGTATAATTTGCAGCGGTGAGAAAGCTGACTTATCTTTATTTTGTCAGAGTTGTCAAATAAAGAATTAGTGGGTGAGAATATAATAGCACCAGTTTTAATATTCAGTTGTAAACTGACACAATCAAAGTGTGGGTTTGTACATCATCAGCCAACAATGTTCACGTGAGATAATCAGTTAGTTAGACACCACTGTATTTTGGTTCTTTTTATTTTAAGGTATATAATGAACAGATTCGTGACCTCTTGACAAATTCAGGACCACTTCATGTCCGAGAAGATGCCCAAAAAGGAGTCGTTGTTCAAGGTCTCACTTTACACCAGGTATACTTATGAATGTTTTTTCTTTCTGGTAGAGTAGCAGATCTGCAGGTTTCCATTTCTACCACTTTGACTCGACTGTGTTTGAAAAAAAAACAAACAAACAACTAATGAACTTAAAGACTAAAGTGAAATTTTAAGGGATCTAAAACCCTGAGTGATTTTTTTCCCAAGATCACAGAGGTGCTTGCAGAATAGATATCAGAAATGAGGATAGCCTTATTTTACTGACTTTTATTGACTATTCTTTTTTTGTTTGTTTGTTTTAATTTTTTTGGTTTTTTTATTAATTAATTAATTTATTTATTATGTATACAATATTCTTTCTGTGTATATGCCTGATGGCCAGAAGAGGGCACCAGACCTCATTACAGATGGTTGTGAGTCACCATGTGGTTGCTGGGAATTGAACTCAGGACCTTTGGAAGAGCAGGCAATGCCTTTAACCTCTGAGCCATCTCTCCAGCCCCTTTTTATTGACTATTCTTGTATCATCTTCTTATGAAATAATTGATGGATATTTTTCCTGCTAAAAATCTGGCTGAAAATTTATTATTCTGCTAAATGTTTGTATTTTTATCTCAGAGACTAGATTTTACCTCTTATTCCTTATATAGCACCAAGTACTAAAGAGATGATACAGAGTCAATATTTATTAAAGAAGAAAATTATATTTAACTTTTAAAACTATTGTTGAGTAAGTTTACTAAGGGTCTGGTATTTAGCTCAGTGGTTGAACATTTTCCTCATATTCATGGGGCCTTGCATTTGAGTCTCTAGCACTTAAATAAAAGTTAGTTGAAAATTTAAAGATAGATTACTAAATATTTTTTTGCTCTTTGAACTCCTAGCCCAAATCCTCAGAGGAAATATTACAGCTACTGGACAATGGAAACAAAAACAGGACACAGCATCCCACTGACATAAATGCCTCATCTTCTCGTTCTCATGCTGTTTTCCAGGTACCGGGCCTTTAGACTATTACTCTTAAGTTGGAATTTAAAATAAAGCCAAGTTTATGAATCATTTTCATATGTTACAGCAAAATCTCTTTTATGGGTAGCTCTGTTCCTCAGCGCTTCTTTAATTTGCAGCTTTTGTTTGCAATTATACTTTGTTTTAAGACATAATCTCATTAAGTTGACCAGGTTGGCTTTGACGTCACTTAAGTAGTAGTGGCCAGCCCTGACATCAGTTCATTTTACCCCAGACTCCTGAGTCTCTGAGATTATTGGCACTGTGACATCTTGCCCACTATTAGCACGAATAGTATATTCCATACAGTAAGTAGTAAGATGCTTTCCCAGTGCACATTGTTCTTGAACATGCTTCAGCATCAAAAATATTTAGAATTGAGATGACATGCTTCCAACACATGGGTTTTTATTTTTGTGACGTGCAGAATTTCTTGAAAATAGAGAATATTAAAGTGGAAATGGGAGATGCTTACCATGTAATCAACTGCATTCCTTAAGAATGATTCAGTACTGCATTGGAGAAAGTGTCCACAAAGATCCAAAGTTGCAGATATTAGTATTCATTATTGTTTGTAGTTTTTGGTGCTTTTTATATCCAGATGATTATTTATGTAAAGTTTTACTGTAGATTATATGTTGTTTGTTTGTGTGTCTTATATATGTACTTAGTTATAGGTGTGCCATGGTGTATGTGTGGAAGACAAAGTTCTATGGGGAATCAATATTTTTTCCACCGTAGTTGGGTCTTTGAATCTAACTCAATCATCAAGTGTTGGAGGGCGGATGCTTGTTGGTTCCCGCCCCTCCCCACCTTAAACCCTGAAATAATCACACAGAAACTGTATTATTTAAATCACAGCTTGGCACTAGCTTCTTATTGGCTAACTCTTACATATTAATTTAACCCATTTCTATTAATCTCTGTATTGCCACGTGGCAGTGGCTTACCGGCAAAGTTTCAGCATCTCTGACTCTGGCAGCGGCTCCAAGGCTCCTGACTCCAGACTCTGCCCTTCTTTCTCCTAGCATTCAGCCTAGCTTTCCCTACCTACCTAAGTTTTGCCTTGCTATAGGTCCAAAGCAGTTTCTTTATTCATTAACCAATAAAAGCAACACATAGAATAGACAGAAGGACCTCCCACACTAATCAAGCTTGGCAGCAGGTAACTTTTACCCTCTTACTGGCCTGTGAAATTTATCTTCTCAAGAAGTAACTGTTACAATCAAAAATGTTTATATCAAGCCATTCAGATAGTTTCCATTCAGTAGTTTCTCTGATCTTTCCTCTTCCACTAATATTTTCTTTATCAAATCTTCAGAGAAATGTTTATGACAATGAGATTTTGCTAGAATGCATTATATCTTTCCTATGTCTTCATCTCTTTCACCTGTCTTGTTTCAGTTGAAGTGTACAAAGCAACTGAAGATGGTTATATAAGGGAGGTAGCATACCTACCATACATGAAGTCCAAATTTTAAATCTTCAGCACCAGTTAATCTGGGCACATTGGCTCAGACCTATAATTCTGGTCTTTCGGAAAGAAAAGATTCTGAAGTTCAGGGTCATCCTTGACTAGTAAGCTTGTAGCCCATGACCACTAGTCTAATAAAAGAAGTTGAGTGGAATATACCTTCCTGAGCTGCTGAAATACTTGAATTGATCAAATTATAAATGGACAGTTATTTTCACTCATAGGGCTGAAAGATTCAGTCTTCTGTCAACTGGTCTTATATCTTTGTAACCTATGGTGAAGCAAAACATAATTGAATGGGGTGTTGCTTACCTTATAATCTGGATGTGAAAATTAATAGAAATAAAGAAAAGCTAGCCTTCTGTTATTTCCTTGAAGGAAATGCCACCTTGATCCAAAAACCTACTACTTTCTGCCCTCTTTGCTTTTTGTGAAGGGTAAGGGAAATATCATATGCCCAGGTTGTTCTGAAACTCTCAGAATCAAGTGATCTATCCACCATAGCCAAACACACACATGCACACACCCTTCCCCACAAGTAACCTGTACTGCATATAGACCTATTAGGTTTTCATCTAGTGACATTAAGGCGGATAAGACAGTTAACAAATGGGCCCTTGGGGCAGCCTTTAGTATCAAAACTCATATATACAAGTCTTTATTTTCATATTTTTTTCGACTTCGGTAATTCTGGTACTATAATTATCAGACAGATAATACATTGTTGTGCTGGCTTTTAAAAGAAGAATAACTTTTTCTTCATATGTATGTTTTTAATGAAACATTTCTTTTAATTTTATTAAATTTTACCCTTATTTTTTCCCTGTTCTATAATTTAAGATTTATTTGCGACTACAGGACAAAACAGCAAGCATCAATCAAAATGTGTGTGTAGCCAAAATGTCACTCATTGACCTGGCAGGATCTGAGCGGGCCAGCACTTCTGGTGCTAAAGGGGCACGATTTGTAGAAGGGACAAACATTAATAAATCACTTTTAGCCCTTGGGAATGTCATCAATGCCTTAGCAGATACAAAGGTAGGTACTATATGTTTACTTTGTAAATGTTTCGAAAAATAGTTTCTACAATATGTGGTGAATTAGATCATAAGCATAAGTGCCTCTGAGCTATCTAATGGTGCTACGTGAGTGTCAGTGTTATTTTATGTTTTTTGTTTTGAGTGAGAGAGAGCATTTTGTGGTACTTTATGGGACTGAACACAATACCTCACATGTGCAAGGGAAGTACAACTGCCTCTGGTTGTCTTTTGAGACCAGATCTCAAATGAGTTGATTAGTCTGGTCTTGGACTTTAGCCCCCTGTTTCACTCTCCACTAGCAGTAATTACAGGACTGTTCCTCCAGACTCAGCAATAGTTGCTTTTTTTCAGTCACCAAGCTTTGGACTTGATTAAGCAAAATGTTCAATGATCACTAGACAGCAAGAATGATAGTAAACTTGACATGAAGACATAAAAAAAAAAACTCTTTTGAGTAAGTCTGTCTAGTTAGTATTTTATAATATACTGTAAAATTGAAGTAATACAAAAGTGTTAGGAAGGAAAAGAGGCTTAAGGTCTGAAGTGTAATTATGTAATAGAATAATTACTGAATGCTTTGAAGCATTTAAAATGTTTTACATGCACTGTATAACAGAAGTACTTACTAGTATACAGTATATTTGACAGTATATTAAGTTGTTTCTAAAATGTGGTAATTGATGCCAGAACAGACTTAAAAACTTTAGGAAGGCTGGGTGGTCGTGATGCACACCTTTAATCCCAGTACTCGGGAGGCAGAGCAGGTAGCTCTCTGATTTCGAGGCCAGCCTGGTCTGCAAGTTCCAGGACAGCCTACAAAGCTGCACATAGAAACCCTGTCTCAAAATACAAAAAGGAAAAAAAAAATTTAGGAAAATTACTGTTAAATTGTTGAAGGTGTTGTTATTTTGATTTAGAATAATGTATTTTAAAATAATTAGGAAGACCTTCAAGAGAGAGCAAGTTACTAAAATTGCGTGACCATTGAAAAAACAGCATGTTTTACATTCAATGTTGAACACTCAAAGATTTGCACGTTGTAACTTAACTTTATTGATTTGTAAAGTTAAGCCATCAAAGTTGAGGGTGTTTGCCATAATTTCCACTTCTCTAATGGGAAAGTTATATGATGATATCATTAATAACATTAATGAATCTTTATATAAAATTTGTTCTGTTAAAATGAGAACTGTATTTTTAATATATCTTTTTAATGAAATATATATTTTAATAAACTTAAGTATTTAATTTAATGAAATATTTTATTGCATTTATTTGTGTGTGTTTAGTATGTGTGAGCATGTGGTCTCTTTATACACTTGTGGAAGTCAGAGGTTTGATTACATTTATTTTCTGGTTAAATCTCTTTTTAAAAATTAATCGATTTTCCTGCAAAATTCAAGATGTTGTTTTTTTCCTGCTGTGTAGTACTCCATTGTGTAAATGTACCACATTTTCCTTATCCATTCTTCGGTCAAGGGGCATTTAGGTTGTTTCCAGGTTCTGCCTGTGACAAACAATGCTGCTATGAACATAGTTGAGCACATGTCCTTGTGGCACGATTGAGCATTTTTTGGATATATATCCAAAAGTGGTATTACTAGGTCTTGAGGAAGGTTGTTTCCTAATTTTCTTGAATTTTGCAGGAAAATGGATGGAGCTAGAAAACATTATTCTGAATGAGGTAACCCAAACACAGAAAAACAAGTATCATATGTACTCACTCATAAATGGTTTTTAAACATAAAGCAAAGAAAACCAGCCTACAAATCACAACTGCAAAGAACTTAGACAACAATGAGTACACTAAGAGAGACTTACATAGATCTAATCTACATGGGAAGTAGAAAAAGACAAGATCTCCTGAGTAAAATGGGAGCATGGGGACCTTGGGGGAGGGTTGAAGTGGGGAGAGGAGAGGCAGGAATGGGAGCAGAGAAAAATGTAGAGCTCAATAAAAATCAATAAAAAAAATTAATCAAACTGGTTTATAAAGAACTCATATCCAGGTAGATTTAGATTCATAGAAGAGTTGATAAGATGATGCATATTTCTTAATCCTACTTCAACTTGATATGCCATGCCCTGTTGATACTCATGGGAGGTCTGCCTCTTTCTGCACAGAAACAGGAGGAGTGGATTGGGGGTGTGTAGAGGTTTGAAGGGAATGGGAGGAGAGGAGGAAGGAGAGAGTACAGTCAGGATATAAAATAAATCAGTGAGTTTAATTAATTTTAAAAAATTAGCAATTGTGATCTGACCAAGCATTCAACATCTAAGAAACTATCCTATGAGTGTATGTATGCAAAAATGTTAGAGTAGTCAGTCCCTAGTATATTGAATAAACAATGCTAACATGATACCCTATCAATTTTAGAAAGATTGTCTGATCTACAACCATTGGTGGGAACAATCACTTAGATTTTTAGAGGATGCATTCTTTTGTGTTGTTGCTCTTCTGTGTTATAATACCTTTATAAGTGGCTAATAAACAGGAAACAATGCTTATTTCAAAGAAAAAAAAGGTGATACACATCTTAAATATGTATCTCATGCCTAGTTTCCTTGTAAGTTTTTGGTTTTGGGGGGTTTGTTTGTTTGTTTTGGTTGTTTCCTTGGGGTGTTTTGCTTTGTTTTGGAAATATAATCTTGTTTTGCCATCCAAGCTATGTACCAAGAAAGTGGGATTAGAGGCACTATTGCTACCTGTCATCTATTGAAATATCTTTAAAATGTCACCTTTAGCTGAAAAATCAATCTCGATCATTGTTTTGTTGTGAGATTCGTTCTTAGAGATGTCAATTTCAGATGGAGTTTTATTTATTTATTGTGTGTATGAATGTGTATGATGTTGAGGTCAGAGGACAGAGTGAGTCTCCCTTTTGCCATGTCAGCTACCTTTCTTTACCTACTAAGTCTCCTGTCAGCTAGTTAGGACTTTCATAATAGTCACTAAGTAATCAAGATGTGTTTGCATTCATCAAACACCAGTGTTATCATTGGACATTGCTTAAATTCCTCTAGTGAAATAATTGTCACTTTTCATTTCTATGTGGAAAAGGATATAAGAATTCTTGTTTTTTTCTTTCAGAGAAGGAATCAGCATATTCCTTACAGAAATAGTAAGCTTACTCGCTTATTGAAGGATTCTCTTGGAGGAAACTGCCAAACTATAATGATAGCTGCTGTTAGTCCTTCCTCTTTATTCTACGACGACACTTATAACACTCTTAAGTATGCTAACCGTGCAAAAGACATTAAATCTTCTGTAAGTGCATTTACTTTGTCTTGTTGTGAGAATATTGGATATATGTTATTCTTATAACTCTAATTAAAGTCTTAATTATGGTCGTTTTTGTTAATGATTTTTGACAATATGAGTTAAAAATGTCCTGCCTAGTTGCTATTTGGATAGCACCACAGAGTAATTAGCCATGAATTTGATATATTTAGATTTAATTTTTATTTAATGTAATAAATATTTATGGAAAATATTGCAATTTATCTGAACACCTACTAATAATACGTACCTTGGTTTATAACATTCTTTGCAAATGAATTTTCACATATATAACATTGTGCTAAATCAAGGAGTCTAACATAGACTATTTAGGGAAATGTTCTTTGCCTGAATTTTGGGACACTTTAAAAAACACACAAGTGAAACATACCTACTTTAAAACTACAGAGATTTGGATTAAAAGAGATCTCAGTTAAATTGATATGCTGTCCCCTTGACTACTCCCTTTCCTCTTTAAGTGTCTGAAGATGAGCAGTGTGACACCCTTTGAGAAATGTCCATATACTATTTATATAAAAGGCCAAACTATATGAGTGTACAAAGATTTTCACACATTTTTTATGTTTTTACTCCAACCGATTGTGGAGTATTCTAGCTTTGTTTTTTATGCTCCACATTACAACTGTGTGGACCAAAGCTTGAAGCAGTTTAAGTAGTTGATTTTTAACTTTCTTAAATAAGAAATTTCTATAATATTAAAAACTGTGTTTAATTTCCCCCCCCATCTATAAATGTGGAGGGGGTCATACTGTTGTACAAAATATGAAAAGAGTAAAAATCTAGTATGAACTCTAGCATAAAACAGAATTCTGAATTTCTTAAAAGAACAAAGAAAATGGGCAATTTTATTATATTATATTGTGCATAAGTACTTGAGGGTATTTTTTTCAGTACATCAATTTGTTTATAATTTCATATACATACGAACCATACTCTCTTGTCACAAATTTTAAATTATGGTTATAATTAAACATGTCAAAAAGACAAAATTAGTGGAACCAAATTAATGAGATACAATGCCACATTATGCTGTGTTTAGCTATGTGATTATAATCATAGTTTCTATCTTTTGGCAGTTGAAGAGCAATGTTCTTAATGTCAACAGTCACATATCTCAGTATGTAAAGATCTGTAATGTACAGAAAGCAGAGGTATGTATCCTGTTCTCGGTGATACAGTCATTGGCTGTATTTCTTCCCTTAAGGAATGCTTTATTTCTTACTATCCAAAATTTAATACATTTTCTATTTTAGTGGAAATCTGTTTTATTTTATTATTTATAACTGAACTTTTGCTGCAGCCATGTATGATGGAGACAAATAATTTGATTTGTATTTTAATTAATGTTTTCTCTGCTAGATTTTAAGGTTGAAAGAAAAACTAAAAGCATATGAACAGAAAGCCTTGACTGACAAAAATGACTGTGAAAAATTAGTACATTCAAAAACTCAAGACAAAGAAATTGAAAGGTAAAACTTTTAAACCAGCTTTTGAGAAATGTATGGTTATAAAATATAGCCTTACATTAATAATAATCCCTTCTTGTTATGTATTATGTATGTATATCTAACTATATACACTCAGTTGTGTTCATAAAATTAATTGTCCTTTGTATTTGACACTTTGAAAAGCACTTCTTTTGATTCTATAGATACAAAAATCAGAAGAAAAGGCTAGTTTCATCATGTGTGAAGTTAGTTTATTTTGAATGGTGCTTTTTTTTTTGCCGTTCCTACTTGTATAGTTTTATGAAAATAAGATGTTTATATTGATTCTATATAGATCTAATTCACTTATTAATTTTAAATTATTGTCTGAGTGAACGTCTTGGTGATGTAGAATGATAGAATTTTATTTCCTGTTGAAGGTACCCCACTATCTTTCTTCTACCTCTAATTTATATTTCTTGGTCTGTTTCTTCTATGATTCAACTTGTAAACTTGTCATCAATGAGAGAGGAAAAAAGTCCTTTTACATACTATGCTATTGACTGCTGTCATTCTGTTTTTCTCCCTAGACCTTATTTACAGCTTTGTAGATTATGTTGAGTTCTAGAGTATTAATTTTCACCTGACCACTAAAGCACTCTTTTTAAAGTAGAATTAAAAGAGGTATTGTTTCCTTGATTACAGAGTGTAATAAGACCTCTCATATTTAAATTATATTGAAATTGTGTGTGTAGGAAGGTAGGTGGGGATACATTAGGAGACAGCTTATTTTTGCCTTCCACTGTAAATTTTAGAGATAGTACTGAGGCCTTTGGGCTTGTCCAGAAAGCACTTTTACCCACGGGGCCATCTCCGTGACCCAGAAGTAGTAGGCTCTGTCCTGTATTCTCACACTGTGCTATTTTACAAATATTACATATAATTCTGACAGCTATTTCTGTTAGTAACAGAAGTCAGTTTTCCATATCTCCTTAGCGTTCCCTGTATGCTGTTGAAGTGAAAGGGCACTAAATGTCCTTGTTTTTCCTTCATGGTGAAATTGTTTAATCTTCCGAATGACCCATTATGAAATTAAACTGTTGTTATTTTGTTTGTAATATAAAATTTTAATTCCATGCAAATTTTCTCATCTTAAAAAATACTTAAGTGTTTCCTTGTTCCTCAATTATTCGTTTGTTTGTTTGTTGAGGCAGAGTTTCTCTGTGTTGTACTGGCTAACCAAGAACTTGCTCTGTAGAGTAGCCTGGCCTTGAACTCAGAGATCTACCTGCTTCTATTGTTTAACTAAAAAGGAAAGCTTCAACATAGAAAAATTACATATAACAAAACAGGTATCAAGCAAGAATTACAGTTATAATATTTCTATCTACCTTATCTTATCATAACTGAAAATTACTGTAACTATTCTTCAACTCCATCAAAGACTCCAGAAGGATATAATATTACCTACATAAACAGGAAGTGCATTGTAAGCAACTTCCAAAACTCTAGAATTGACAGAGACATCTCGCTGCCTGGACAATCACCCAAAGTTTTTCTGTAACATTGGGGCATCCGTCTTCAGCCTATAGGCCCATAGTATCTGGCAGACTTTTCCCTGAAGCAGGAAATTTCAAAGACAGGTCTTCTGTATCCTGCAGAATGTCTGACAGACTATTTCTTGAATCAGGAACCCCAAAGGATCGTCTCACCTTTAGGCAAGTTCAGCAGTCATTTCTCTCTCTGTGGGTCCTGCATGTTCAGTTCACACAGCTTACCATCAATCAGTCCAGGCAAGAGCAGTTTCTTGCCCAAATGGCTAACAAACTCCACGAGGAGCCTCTTCAATACCCATCATACTCTTGAAGTAGATTGGTGCTGCCAGGAACAGATGTGTCTCACTGTTGTGAAAAGTCCTAAATTCTTAAAACATTTTAAATGCCATATTCTGTAGTTTTTCATGATTTGAAGATTATCTAACTGAAATATATCTCTATATATCTAGAAAACCTAACTAACATGATTATAAGCTTGACTATTATAGATGATTATCTATTAACCTATATTTCTTAGTTATACATTACATTTTTGAATGAGCTAGACAAACACAATGCCTTAATTAAGACCAGAAATAACAAATACACAGTATAACAAATTGACCTTAAGTTTGTACGAATAAACCAAGATCCATACCAATGCAAATCTCTATAACATATCTCCCTTTAAATGTAAAGAAACATTTAAAAACAGTATTTGGAAATTTGGGCATAGTTCTCTCCAAACTGCTTCCTGCTTTTTGTTGGATGAAATAGTTTTTTGGGAATGTTCAAAGCGATGCTTCATTTGGTCTTGGTCCATCAAACCACATTAGTCTGGTTCTCATCTTCTGCAGAAACAAAAGCAGAACCTCTTTTCCAAAGCAACAAATCCTTAGACCCAAATTTTGGAATGAAAATAGGTTGCTGTAGGTTAGCAGCCCATACAATAAAATGTTTCTCTGTACTTAGCTCTTTCACAGTCAAAGAATTCAAAGAAAGCTCGATAATACACATAATCCAGACTCTCTTTGTATTTTCCATCTTTATGATTTCTTTAATCTATGACTATCTGCACTCTGTCTCTTTAAAGACTTTGTTTTATTTTTTAAAAAAATTTACCTCTTTTCCAACTTTCTATACTCTTCTCTCCCAAGCCTACATAATTTTATCCAACACTGTGACCCACCTAGAGGTCTTTTTTTGTCTGAAGTTGTCTTTATTGCATATCTGTAATCCTGTTCTAACCAGGATGACATCTTAAAATGCTAAATGCTTCCTAAAACACTAAGCTTCAGCATTGCTAGCATATATATGGCCCAGCCTGCTTGCTCCACCCTGTCCGTTCACTGCCTCTGAAATTGCCCTGTGGGAGCGTTCTCACCACCTCAACTCTGATAACCAGTTGGCCCATGCTGCTACCAGGTAACATGCAGCACACTGCCCATATGCCCCATTAAATGCTTAGCCTCCTGAAAGAGCCAAAGTTCAACTACATGACTTTCTTTTTTGCTACTACTGAATCAGGAAGACCTCTCTTAAAGGAGCTGTGGCATGCTGCCAGCAAAATGCTGGCTACCAAAAAGCCGTGCTTAACTTTGTTCTTTTGTGTCTAAAATTACTTTTTAAGCTTTCTCAGATTTTTATGTAGATGTAGTTACCCATGTTGGTGTGCCAATTTGTTGTAGGAGGCTGCTCCTTTGTTTCCAGCCACTTAGACCTGAAATAATCTCTCAGAAACTATATTATTTGCAAGACTGTTTGGATAATAGCTTAAACATATTGTTAGCTAGCTCTTACTTCTAGAATTAACTCATCTCCATTATTTTATATTTTACCATGAGGCTAAGGTTCTAACTGATGGCTTGCATCTGTCCCTGGCAGGGACTCCATGGCTTCCCTTCACTCTGCCTTCTTTCTCCCAGCATTCAGTTTAGTTTTCCCCACCTGCCCCTGTTCTGCCTGCTCAGGCTTTAGACAGTTTCTTTATTAACCAATGGTATTCACAGCATGTAGAGGGGAATCCCACATCATGCCTCTGCCTCCAGAAGGAATTGGGATTAAAGACATGCCCTACCACCTCCCAGCCCTCATTTGTTCCTATCAAAGAAAACTTCTACTTTGTTTTAATATTCTAATTTATATTTAATTTTGTTAGTTAAAACATAACAATAGTACTAATACCATACATGTTTCTTGGAAGTTAAACTATCAGTTTTCCAAAACTGGAATGATTACTTTTATAAATATGTTGACATTAACCATGTGTAATTTGCCAATTAAATTGTAGTCCCAGCTACTTCATTTCTGAGGCAGAAGGGTTGCAGTTTCAAGTCAAGACTGGAAACTTCGGATGATAGTATCTCAAAACTGAAAGCTTAGACACAGTTATAGTGATATAACTCATGAAGGAATGCTTGCCTATGCAGTACCACAGTTCTGGTGGAGGAAAGAGGGTGGACTTATAAATTAGGAAACTTTTTTGAGTTGATGGTTTTAAATCATTCCTCTCTCTCTCTCTCTCTCTCTCTCTCTCTCTCTCTCTCTCTCTCTCTCTCTCTCTCTGATTGTTAGTTGTGTCTGGGGGGGCGTCTGTGTGTATATGTATGTACACATAAGTGCAGGTGTCCAGGGAAGTCAGAAACATTGGATTCCTCTGGAGCACAGACAGTTGTTATCCATCCTAAATTTTGGTTTTCATAAAACTTAAATAACATTTTTGTGCATTTTCTGAAGACAGTGGAAAAATTTGCAATATTTTCTGGCTCTAAAAGTTTTGTAGCGGCAGTATACAAAAAAGAATCATAAAAAGAAAATACAATTTTTTTTTTATAAATAACAGTTGTAAAACTTCTCCTGTGACTATCCCAAGGAAGTGGTATGATATAATTCCCTGTGTCTCACCTAAAAAAAGTAATGCAAATTTTGTTTTCTAGTTAGATATTCTAAATGACTGGACAATACCTACTACTCATTCTCTTAGGATTTACTTCAGTTTTGTTTTTTTAAAGATGCTACCTAGAAACACTTGATAATGATTACTTGCTTTCCTTAGTAAGCAGTAAACACCCAGTAAAATGTTTAGACCACAGAATTACAAACTTAACAGTATTCAACTCCGTCCTTGAGTCAAAAAGTTACAAAAACTGTTGATGGAGCAGCAGGGCTGCGTCCCCGGCACCCGGCCGCCCACATGGCTAGGTTATGCCCCGAAATAATTACACGAAAACTGTATTCTTTTAAACACTGCCTGGCCCGTTATCTGTAGCCTCTTATTGGCTAGCTCTTACATATTAATCTAACCCATTTCTAATAATCCGTGTAGCCCACGAGCTGGCTTACCAGGAAAGATCTTAACCTGCGTCTGTCTGGAGTGGAAGAACCATGGCTACTCCTTGACTAAGCTTCTTTCTCCCAGCATTCTCTTCTGTCTACTCCACCCACCTAAGTTCTAACCAATAAAATGGGCCAAGGCAGTTTCTTTATTATAAATAACCAATTTCCTTCCTCCATCAAAAAACTAAGATACTGTCTTGGGGTATAACCTAAAGATAACTTATCAATTCATTTACTGGCACTAGCATTGGTGTCATAGAGTACTGTGCAATCACAATATCCGCATTTGCATCCTATGAAATATTCATCATCTTAACAAACTGCAGAGCAGTCAATGTACTGTGGTTTATCATCATTCCCAGGAGAGTTTCATTAAGAACTACTGATGTAAATTGGTAGTACGTTTACCACAGATCCTTACAGATATTTCCAATGCCAAAGAACATTTATTTCTAAGTGCACAAACTGGTTTTATTTTAAAGACTTTGTAATTAATTTTCTTAGATAATTTTGCCTGTCTCAGATTTTTGATAAGACTGAAATATCATTGAGCCCAGTTGTTCTGTTAGTTAGAAGTTGCCAAACTAGGCATTTCCTCAATTTTTCGTAGGATTTATTCAGTTTTGAATCGTTGACTTCTTGAGTCTAATAAACTCGACAAATTAGATTCTTTATTTTGCCCTTTGGAGAAGGAAACCACAACCTCATTTTTAGGTTTGCCACATTGTTAACTTGGATGTTTTAGGTCCTGCCAGTGTCAGTTGACTTTTTTGCCAAGCTGTAGGGGGTACCTAACCGTATGGTGTATTCTCACTATAATAATCTTTGAAGCTAAAACTGGTTCTCTCATTTTCCCTAGGGAGCCATGGACATACCATATGATAATGCCCCCTATTGCTTTTTCTTCACAGTAAGCCAACACCAAACAGCACATGATGCTCTGTTGCTAATAGGGCTGTGAGAATTGTCACAGTAAAGATCCATGTTACCGTTCTTTGCATTTTTGCTAATCTTTAAGACTACATATGATAAAATGCAACATCTTATTATCAGAGGCCTTGTGATACCCAAATATTTAAATAACATTATTTTCTTTGCAGGAGAAAAAAGCCTACAGTAGTAAAAATTAAAATTGATATTCACTTCTAAATATTTTTGTATAGGAGAAAGTTGTTCTCACCTACCTACCTACTATTTATCATTGAGTATAGTCTGAATGATATATGTTATTTAAGTAATCTGTATATTAGATAATATAAATTTAATGAAATATAATGGTGTGCTTTATTTTTGGTAGATTTCAAGAAATTCTAAAATGCTTGTTCCAGAATCGAGATAGAATCAGGCAAGAATATCTGAAGTTAGAAATGTTACTTAGAGAAAATGAACTGAAGTCGTTCTATCAACAACAATGCCACAAGCAAATAGAGATGCTGTGCTCAGAAGACAAAGTAGAAAAGGTACTTCACCACTTCATGTCTAAACTTCGGAGAACATGGAAATCTAATTCTTGAAGTTTGATAAGCACCATTTTTTACTCACCCTTTTCTGAAAAGTTTAGAAATACTGTGAGAATCAGAGGAATCTCTAAAAAGCACACTTTTAGTTGCATTTGTTCCTTTTTTGAGAGCATGTGGGTCCTTAGGGACAGAAGCAGCCTGTGCAGTTGTAGGCGACACTTTCCAACTTAGGCCAAGAGGAGAGTTTCTGCTATTATTCAGAAAACCGTACTTTATCACTAATCTTGATAGGCACTTCTACAAGATCCTAATAAAGATCTAACCAACTTTTAGTATTTTCTACTATTGTTTCTGCATATAGTGGTGAGCTACTCTCTACTACACAGACCACTCTTCACTGCCCTACCTTTGATTTGAACAATGCACTGACTTAAAAACAAGAACCTTCAAATACAACTAGAAAGGTCAGAGATCTACACCCCTTCATGATATGGGAGAAAGGGCTGTATGGGGGGGGGGGCAAGGGGTAAGAAAAAATTGTCTCGTCTGAAGATTTATTAATGGTGTGCATTCCAAAATGGTTATGGTCCAAGCTTTAGCAAACTATATATTTTACTTAGAAAATGCCTAGAGTTGACATATAACATGGCATCAAACCAGTGCTACCTCTGGGAAACCTAGCAAAAGCTACCCTAAGAAATAAACCTTAACGTTCACTGTAGGTAAGAGTCAGCAGACTTAACATATAAATCGGAAACCCTGAGAATTTAGACACCAGAGTAATCCAGTGAAAACTAAAAATGAAGTATTCAAAAAAGAATAGAAGACAAAAAACATTAAAGATAAAAGATACTACCAATAGGGAATACCTAAATGTGAGCGTCACAACATGAGGAAAGCAAATGTAATTTTCAGAAATTATTTATTCTTAAAAATCTCATTATCATACAGTACCAGCAATGCTTAAGCGGTATTCACTTAGTTGTCAGAAAACTCTGTGAAATATTTAATAATCTCCTTTCTTAGCATGGCCAAAGGCAAGTCATTTTGTCAAAAATAGTATACAGCCATAGGTAGTTTAACCATGGTTTAAACTCTTGTAGGCAAGTGCTAGAACTTGTACTTTAGCTCTGCTTTTTTGCATGGTAAATACTACAAAATTCAGTATTTCGAAACTGGAAAACAGGTCTAAGAAATTCAAACGAAGTATAACATAGCTAACATGTGGACAAGATGTTCTCGACCCCTGCACTTGAACTGACTCTTCCACTTTCAGGATGGACCTTCCTTCTTCAGTGAAACCTACCTGGAAACTTTCAGAGAACTATCCCAAATGCTTTTATTTTAGAACAGTGTTTCTCAACATATTGGTCTCAACCCCTTTGGGAGTCAAACGACCCTTTCACAAGGGTCGCTTAAGACCATCTGAAAGCACAGATATTTACATCACAGTTCATAACAGTAGCAAAATTACAGTTATTGAGTAGCAACAAAATTAAATTTTGGTTTTGGGTCACCATAACATGAGAGACTGTATTAAAGGGGCACAGCACTAGAAAAGTTGAGAACCACTCACTGTTTTACGTTCTTCTAAATCCTGTAAAATTGACAATCAAAACTGTCACACCATAGTAGTGGTGAGCTTTGTATGTTTTTTTAATTTGTTCTTTTGTTGCTGTTCCTTTTGCTCAAAGCAATATTGACACCTAAAATTTCAGAATCATTTTTTCTATCTCAAGGCCTGTTGTTTTCTGAACATTTGGTTCATTGAATATATAAAGTTCTCTCGATCTCAGTGGAGAAAGGTGCCCTCTTTATGTACTGAAAACCAGTCCCCATAAGGAATACATACATTTCATGAGCATTAGAAGTCAAATCAGAATTGTCCTTTTTGAATTTTAAGTTATATCCATTGTCTTTATGTTCATAGAATACTTCTTGCCCACATTTCTGGAGTCACAATAACATTTATTTGTAAATATTAAGGCATTGTAGATATAATTTAGCCAGTAACCACAAGCAAGGATAACTCTTTTAATTTCATTTTTCAAAAGATAAAATTACTGAAGACCCATTGAAATTGACTTACCTGAGTTTTCACACTTTCTGAATAACAGAAGAAAGTCAGAATGCCACATTGCCCACTTCCTGCTCTATCACTCTCTAAGCTTCAAGTTTCAGATCCTGGTCTACCATTAAACTTGTCTAGTACTTCAAAGACCTTTGTTTATTGCTAGACTTAGTGTATTAGAGATTGCTAATGTAATTTACAGAAATATTTGTTTTCTTATAACTATGAAGATAATTGATTATTTTCCAATACAAAACAAAAGACAGCTTGTGAGACCAACAACATTGTTTTACATCCTTCCAACAACATGCCTGTCTACACAAAAGATGTATTCTCTTATCAGCGTCTGTGATTTTCTGGAGTGACCTTACACCTCTGTTAGCTCCTGGAAACCTCTTACCCTGAAGTACCATTAGGAATTTAAAAGGCTGGCTAGAGACATGGCTCTGTGGTTAAGACCATTTGTTACTCTTGAAAACGACCTGGGTTCAGTTTGTAACACCCATGTGGTGCCTGACAACCATCCATAACTCCAGTTCTTGGTGATCTTATGGCCTTCTCTGACCTCTGTCCACACCTGAACTGCACATTGTGTATGTTCTTACATCTAAGCATACACATTCAAATAAATCAGTCTTTTTATAATTTTGTAAAGAATTAAAAATTATTTTGACCTAGTAAATCTCCTGCAAGGACCCAGGCATCTTCACATGAAAACTGCAGGTGCCCAAAAGTTCTCCAAAGTTAAAGACCCCTGCAGTGTAGTATTTGTTGTGTTAGCCTTTGTACTCCATTAGTCCTCTTTAGGGAGAAGATAAGGATTTTGTTTTTTTAAGCCACTGTTTTGTTTTGCTAAGGTCTTGCCATGAGAAAAAAAAAAATCATTTATCATATGATTAGAGAAATGGCAATAAAGAACTCAGAATCTTGATGAGAATGACTTTGCTTATCAATCACTATCCCTGTCATTTGACTCTAGCCTCCGGTGAGTCTGTCTTTTCTTGAGGATTTTGTTTTTCCATGAAAGGAAGTATGAGATGTATAGATATCTAGAATCTGTCTGTGGCTTAATAGCTATCACACTGGCTTAACGCTAAATATTTACAAGCTAATATCATCCACCAAAATGAAAATGCTCTTATTTGCTTATGTTATCTGCCTGAAAATATTAATAATTAGTAATTTTTAGAAATGCTAAAAATAATGATTTATTACCTAAGGAGGACAGGGTCTTTGACCAAGTACACACAGCTCTGCTCTCTTTGTGGATGCCGGTGCTCTACTCCAGAACCAGCTACAATGTTCCTATCTCTGAGGACTGATTGTTTCAGGTATACCCATCGTATATGGCAATTATTTAGTTCAGTGTCCATTGGCAAATTACCAAGACCAAGCTATTCTGACCAATGGCTCCTGTGTTAGCATGCATAGCCTTTGGGCTAAAAAAATCAAAAGACCAAATCTGACCAAAAATAGTCATGAAGATGTAAAATATCAAAGACATTCAGAGTATCCATTGTGGTACTCAACCTGACCATGGGCAAGGTAAAGTATTGATATATACTCCGATTCTTTTTTCTCTCTCATTTAGAGCAGGCAAATTAAATCAGCAGAACTTTTTTTTTCTTCGTATCTTTTCAGATTGGAGACAAGAGCAGAGTGTGCATGCTTTTTTTTTTTTTTTTGAGTAAGGAAATCATGGAATTTATCTAACCTTATATGAACTTTACAAATGTATCATGCAAAAAAATGTTATAGCTTTCCATTTGACCACTGCTTTTCGTAAAGCTATAAACTCAAGGTGTAATTTTATTAAATGACTCACAACTGATTTGCTACTTTGCTATGATATTTTAATAGGGAAATAGCAGAAGGCCTTAACATATTGTACTGTACCCATATAAGAAAATATGACTTTTTCAGTGTTGTACACATCAAATATAAGAATTACATATATTATTAAATACATTGTTGTGTTTCAGGCCACTTGCAAACGAGATCACAGACTTGAAAAGTTGAAAACTGTTCGCTGTTTCCTCGAGAAAAAGAAGGAAGAGGTGTTGAAACAGTTTGATGAGAATACTAATTGGCTTCAGCGAGTGGAGAGTGAAATGATGCTCTTAGGTCAAAATGGTGATATTCCAGAGGTACAAATATGTATATATATATGTGCTCAGATTTAATCTTAAAAACTGAGCTCCTTAAATTTCTTGTGTTTCTTGAGTGAATATCTTTCATGTGACAACTGCTGCCCTGCTTCTCTGGGATTTAATTAATTCACTTTTCTGTTTTAATGACTGTGTCCTTAATTCACTAATACCTCATTGATTTGTGGTTTTTGCTTTCAGAAGGGTCAATTTACTTTTAAGTGTTTTTTAAGTAAATGTCCTATATGAAATAACTCTTAAGTTAGAATTAAGCAAGTGTGTTAAACTGGTTGAGGCTGCATCATCGAGGCCTCTTACGCTTTTCCACTCACAACCTCTTTTCACCTGAGAAAGTTTTCTGTGATCCTGAATATATAAGTATGTAATAGATTTACAGATCAAGAGTTTATACATTACAAATAAAGGAACTTATTATAAAGTAGTTCTTTTGTGAGTGAGAATGTGTCTGTATGTCTTTCTCTGTGTGTTTATCATTTTTTAAAGACAAGATCAAATTTGAGTACTGATGAAATAAATGGTCTTGTTAATAGGGCAACTTTTCAGAATTCATCGTTTTTTTTTTTTTTTGTTTTGTTTTGTTTTGTTTTTAATGGTCTGGAATAGCGAGAATGTTACCTTTTTATAATGGATAAGTACAATGTGGCAGAGGTTTACTTAAGGCCACTTTAGAAATGATTGGAAATTATTTTGTGATCACAGCAAGCCAAAAGTCATTTACTGATTTCTTTTTTTTTTTATGAAACTCAATCAACATCTCAAATAGTGGCTGGTAAAAGCAAACATAGCATAGTAAAATCAAAAAATATAGAAATTTAATACTTTAGTTGCTGAGGAGCAAGTTTTTATTTTCTCTAAGTAAGTTATTGTGTTTCTGTAGAATAGAAATCTTTTATGTACAGTAAAAACAGTACAATTCTTACATTCACTAGTCTTGAATTAGAGCAAGTGTGTTTTCAGGCATTGACATTAACCAGTGCAGAGTGCTATGTATTAAGGGCCAGTTTTACAGTGAAGTTGTGATTCATTATAAGGGTACACAGCCCAAAACACATCTCCTATTTACATGTTTGCTATTGAATTAACTTGTGGTCCTTCTGTGTTCAAAACCTTGTACTGTGGCTCTATATTCTCAGCACCCATATTCAGGTGCATGCCCCAGTATGAAAGTGCACCCACCAGTTAAGAAGCTGGGAAGTGAATAATTCTGTTTTAAACTTACATATTCATTTAAAAATTAGCTAAAGTATTTGTATTTTTAGCATATTGCTTGCCTTTTTCAATGTTGTAATGTTTATAAAGTTAATATCATTTGAGTTCTTGTAGTGAATTTAGTTTTTTAATACGCTCACATATAATCTTTCAGATAATCTAGAATTTTTGTTTCTTGCTTTCTGAGAGATCTGTGTAGACTTGGCTGGCTTGGAACTCAGTATTAGGCCCAGGCTGGCCCTGAATTCATAAAGATACACCTGCCTTTGTCTCTCCAGGTCTGATATTAGTGGTGTCTACCCCCAGTCTGCCTATCCCAACATTTCTAGCAGTATCTTTGTACACCAGACTGTGAGCCATTACTTTTTAGTACTTTATATATTTCATTATAAATAGCACAAGAAAGATAACACTTTCTAGTTCTACCTCCTAGCTCCTTGTTCTATTTCTGTAAGATGTTTCACAGCTGAGACAATTATCTAGTCATGAGCACTTACTTCTTGTATAAACAAAATGTGAGCTGCCTTCACAGAGGGCCTTACCCAAGGTCCTGCAACTCATGGGAAACACTACGTTTTTTAAATTTGAAATGAGTGCTGNTATATACACACACACACACACACACGTGTGTGTGTATGTATGTATTTCGTTATGTACTTTTGTATCATATGTCTTTATCCAGCAGTACCACAGTTGTAATTCAGACTACCACCCCTCCACTCCTGTTATCATATTCTAACACCTGGCCTTTCTGATTTTTCTCTACTCCAACCAAACTAAAAGTTTGAGCGCTAGCACCGACAGTATCACTCCTCAGTGTCCTGCCCCTACTGTGAGCTATGATGGCTGACCAAACCTGGCACAACCTGGCACCCTGTTTTTCTAAAGCTTACTATGACCTACCATTGTACTCTCTACTTCAGTGGTTAGCTGACTTGTACTTCTTGTACTGTGGTCTTCTCTTCAGATGTGATCCTTGGTATACTGAGACAAAAACACACTAAAATTACAGTCTTGCCTTTCCTAAGGCCATCTACCCAGGATCTATGATGGATTGGGTGGAAGGGTGGTTGCAGAGGATAAGAGCTGAGGAAGAGCTGGGTTTTATGGTTTGGTTGTTTGTTGTATTGGGAAGTCATTTGGGATTCTTTGGAAAACATGTTTACACACTTACTTGATGTTCTAACTGAAAAGCTATAAGGAGATCAAGTAAAATGAATCAGTTCAGCTCTTCCACGTTAGTCAAGTAAACTGATCTCCATAAAGGCCATGTATTTGGCTCGAGCTGACATTTGTTTCAAGACTGAGCATTTCCCTAAAAATCAAATGACTCATAGGTCAATCCTCTAGACATATCCTGGTTCCATAAAAAGTGGCTTTATCCAAAATACATGATATATTTCTTGAAGTATAAAGGTGAATTATGTAAATGAATTGTGCTGGCTAGCTTTATGTCAGCTTGATGCAAACTAAAGTCATTTTAAAAGACAAAACCTCAGTTCAGAAAATGCCCCCACCAGATCGCCTTTAGGCAAACCTACGGTATATTTTCTTGAATCTCAAAGTAACATTTCCTAGTTAACAGTGGTATGTAACGTATTTTATAGGTAACAAGCATGGTAAAGAGACTATATTTCTTTGTCACTAGTAAAACATTAACTCTTTATGTACCCTTTTAGTCTTGAACATAATAAATTTGATAATTATAAAAACAACCCCAACTGACCCCCCCCCCCAAAATCTAAATCTGTACTTTAGACAATCCATGTTCAGCTGTAGACTAGAAAGGAGTATGAAAAATAATTGAAATGGAATACCAGGGTTTTTTTTCCTATAACTCCAGGCATAGCTCTGTTTATTAAATTGTAGCTTACCAATCCAAATGTCCCCAGAAATACATATCATTACACAATTAAAGATGCTAAAACTTCTGGGGTATTTTTTTTCTTTCATATCTCTCCATATCCTCTGAGCTGATCCCTTTTTGTATTTAGGATTTAGTGAATTTCAGAAAAAAAGAATAAATTATAAGTGGAAAATTAGAGGGCACCTGACCCTAAACAGAAGAGCATTGGGAAAACTGAAATATTCAAGAGACTTTTTTATTCTAAGATGAAGCTTTTAAGAAGAGTAAAAGGGATGAGAGAGAGAATTGTGCAGCATGCAACTCAGCACTGACCTGTATACGGAACTAACTAATCATTGTCCATCCTCAGATGAACCTTACTTCGAGTAGAAATGCAGCTGCACAGTGAATAAACAGCATTCTTATTGGTCAGTACTGTCGCAGCGTTGGAAGATACTGTCCATCTTTAAATGTAGTGCTCAAGGAATGCCTCTTTTAGTAGTAGCGTTTAAGTAAAGACTTCTAGCACAACTGTTTTTTCACAATATTGTAAACAAATTAGATCAACAAAGAAGCTGTTGTCATAGTATGCCTTTTTTGAGATGCCTAACATTTATTTTTCAGAAGAAAATTAAACTCTTACCTTGTTGCTAAGTTTTAGGCTATCTAGCTTTATGTTCAGGTTGACACAAACTAAACTCATTTAGACAACAAGATTCCTTATTGTCTAAAATTTTCAGCATGTTTTTTTACAACTTTAAAAAACTTGGTGTCCACATAAATAAGTTATATTAAAATTAGACTATTTCTTTTAAAAATCTACAATACATTTTTCATTATTTTTCATAGATACTCAGTAAAGATCTTCATTGTCACCACTTTCGGCTCCAGACTAGAGACCTGAAAACACAAGTGGGATACATGAAGGCTCTAGCTTGTCTCCAAGAGCGGCAGCACAGTCAGACTGAAGCGTAAGTACATGGCATTGGACAGTCTACCAATCTTAATGCTACAGGAAATCGAAATTTATCTGAGAAGGGATTCATTAATTTGAATTGTTGGTCAGCATCAAAAAGCACACAGGCAGAAACATTGAGAGAATGTGAATGATGTGGTTCTTTCCTAATAACTAATTATTTATAGTACTTTGTAGTTTTTCAATGAATTTTCTTTTTTAAGATTTTGGATTTTGTGCTAAAAAAATTAAAACTGCTATTAACACCAATTAGATTAGATAATTTTTGGTTATTGGTAATTCCAAAATGATTGGGGGGTGGGGTGTTGCCTTCTCAATCATCTACCTTCTGCACTCATCCCTCATCCTAGTCTTCAGATGAAGCCTGGGTCCCATATCCAGTGCCCAGTGACCAAGTCTGATATCATCACCTGCTGCTTGCCTACCTGTTTGCTTGGACCAGGAAACATATACTGTTTGCCAGCCCATCCTTCTGTAGTCACATGAGACATGCAGCCACAGAAAAATCCATGTACTCAGATCTTATTACTATTACTAGCTTTTAAGGAGCATCAGGTGTCTCCATTATTTATAATCTTTATTATTTAAGTAATTTTAACAGTTTCACACGTGCATCTTCTCCCATCTCAATGCTGTCTTCTCTCCCTTCTTCCCTATGACTCACCTTTTCACCTTCCTGTCTTTTTCTGTTTTCTTTCTTTTTGTTTTGTTTTTGGTGTGTGTGTGTGCGTGCGTTTGTTTGTTGTTTTTGTTTGTTTTTCTCTTTTATTTGGTTTGGTTTGGTGACCAAACAAGTTTAACCAGACCCACCTATATGATTATTAGTTTGCAGCTATCCATTGAAAGCTCCTGGGCTCAGGAATGGTTATACAACTGAAGACAGTGGTTTCCCCTTTCCCAGCTTCTGTGTTTTCATCAGTAATTCACCAGTAGCCTATAGGGCATTTTGAGCCCTTCTCCCTTCCTCAATTGATTTTTGACAGGGCCTGTCTTGTGTGTGCCTAATGTTGGTCACTGCTGTTTTACATTCATGGTTGCTGTGGCTGCATCAAATCTAGAGGATGGTATTTGCAGCACTCACCCTATCTTCCAGCTCTGAGATGCTTTCAGGCTCTTCTTTCATAATGATTGTTGAGCCTTGGAAAGGGTGGTGTAAATGCCTTTTTTACTGCTGAGCCCTCAGCCATCACTTTTTCTCAGCATTTTTGCTGGCTGGCAGTCTCCAGATTCATTATTGTTCAAAGCAGAGACTTCTCTGATTAAGGTTAATAGTAGTGCTTTTTTTTCTTTCTTTTTATTTTTCATGGGTATAAACATAGAAATTTTTAAACAGTTAGATGTAATCAATTTATTCAATAGTACTGAGTTACCCACTTGGCCTTTGACTTCCCCTGGCATAGGTGTTAACCAGGCTTCAGTCACAAGCATGAATTCAGTCCCATGGATTGTGCTTCAAATCTAGTCAGTTGCTTACCCTTTTTTTAATAATAGTTTTTCATTTATTTTACATACCCATCCCTCCTCTCCCCATGCCCTGTCCCACCCCACCTTCTACTTTTGCACAAGTTGCGCCACATCTTGTCCACAAAGTTGATGGAGTGTTGCTTTGGTTTTTGTGCTAATGGGTTCACAGCTGATGAAACCACTGATACCTTTCTCTCTCTACAACGTTAATAGCATTCTCCAACATTTACATTCCAGTAAATTAAAAAAAAAAAATCTAAAAGAAATAGAGGATTTTCTGTATACATATGAGCTTCCAAAATGAAGCAAAAGTAAAATAAATAATTCAAACAGCAATAACAGTGAATCAGCACTAAAAAGTCTCTCAAATAAAAATCTCCCAGGACCAAGTGGTTTTACTACAGATCCTATCAGAGCTTCAAAGAACTAATACCAATATAATGCAAAATGTTCCATAAATGAAAAAGGAAGGAAAGCTTCCAACTGTATTACCCTGATAACAAAACCCAGAAAAGCACACACATGTTATACACTGCTATGATGAACACAGATGCAAAATTTCTTTATGTAATACTGACATACTGAACTTAAAAATCACATCAGATAGATTATTCATCATGATCAAGTTAGCTTCATTTCAGAGATTCAGGATTTCTGCATATATAAATCAATAAATACATCACAAAAATGGACAGAAACCACAGGATTATCTTCAGAGACATAGAAAAGACCTTTGACAAAATCCTATGTCCTTTCATAGCATAAATCCAAAGAGTCTAAAGATGCATAGAGCACACCTCAGCACAATAAGGGCTATATTTCACAGACCTGTAGCCAGCATTGGACTAAATGGAAGAAAGGTCACAAAATTCTCGCTAAGATTAGAAATAAGACAAGGGAGCCCAATCTTTTCACTTACACTAATTACAGTGCTTGAAACCTGAGCTAGGACATTAAAACAGGATGGAGTGCTAGGTGGTGGTGGTGTACAACTTTAATCCCAGCATTTGGGAGGCAGAGGCAGGCAAATCTCTTAAGTTCAAGGCCAGCCTGGTCTACATAGTGAGTTCCAAGACAGCAGGATTGTTTCACAGAAAACCCTTGTCTGGAGAGGGGGGTTGACACCGGAATGGGGGTGATTAAAAATAAGTCAAAGTTTCCCTACTTGAAGATGATACGATTCTATATTTAAGAGAACTTAAATGGCTTCATTAAAACCTCTTACAACTGCCCAATGCTTTGTAAATAGTGAGGTGCAAAATGAACACAGTGATACCACAACCATCCTGTAACTCCAGTGGCAGATTTACTGAACCAGGCAATCAAGGAAACAGTCCCATTCACAATAACATTAAATAGTAAATAAATAAATGCTTGGGAGTAAACCTAACTATGCAAACAAAAGAACTCTACAATGAAAAATTTTAAAACACTGCAGAGAATAAAAATAGCGCCCTTGTTTGTTAACTGGGAGATATAATTCTGTGAAAATGGCCAGAGTGTTTCCATTTTTATGTATTCTTATAGTCACTGTATAACTCACTAATAGGATTTTGTTATCAATTTAACTATGATTTTCCTTAAAAGTGTGATTAATCTCTTGTCATCTTTTATAAATCAGTTATTTTGTTGGGTAGGCATTCTTTGAGGTTATATAAAAATGAGAGAGGCCCGTGTCTCTATGGGCTTTCATTCAAAACTCCCAATTGTGTTCCACAGGTATTCTCAAATTACCTGGAATTAATTTTCCTATGCTTTTGATTTAAAGTAAGCTATTTTCAAGATGAAGAAAAACAATATTTTATAAATGGGGGTCCACAGTCATCACAGCAAATCACCGTCACTTGCTATCAAGTGGCATGTGGGAACTTAGGCTTTCAGAGACACGGTTGATGGAGGAAGGTCATTGGTTAATTAAATAAAGAAACTGCTTGCCCTGATAGGTTAAAATATAGGTGGGTGGAGTAGACAGAACAGAATGCTGGGAGGAAGAGGAAGTGAGCTCAGAGACGCCATGCTCCCCTCTCCCGGGCAGACGCAATAGCTCTGCTCTCTGAGGCAGAAGCACGCTGACCGGTGCTACACAGTTTATTAGAGATGGGTTGACCGGGATATCAGAATTAGCCAGTAAGGACTACAGCTAATGGGCCAAGCAGTGTTTAAATGAATACAGTTTGTATGTTGTTATTTCGGGGCATAAGCTAGCCTAGCGGCCAGGAGCTGAGCTGTGGGAAGAGGCCCACAGCTCTTACTACACACGGTCGTTTATTTTAACCCCACTGTGCTCTTATATCATACACAGATTGAGATGCCTTAACAGGCTTTACCTTGATAATAAAATAATGAGATAAAATCGATTCCAACTGATTTTAACAACTAGTGAACCAAATCATCTCCAAAGCATTGTGACATTGTAAAACGTGAATAAGTTTTTTGACTTAGTCTTGAATTCTGCTTATTTTAGCAATAGACCCTTGTAGAAACTATGTAGTATTGCTAAGTCTTAGATTTCTCATTCATAAAAATAAATTATTATATAAATGTAACATGGTACTTGAGTTCTTAAAACCTTTCCCAGGTTTAATCATTTACTAGTGTTCATGAGATTCATATAGTTATGCTCAAAGCTATGAGTTAGTTTAGCAAACAATACAAAATAAAACCAGCAAAATGGAAAGGTTCAGAAGAGATTAGACAAATAAAATTTCAAGAATCTTGTTACGTGCCAGACATGGTGGCATTTGCCTTTAACTCTAGCATGCAGAGGCAGAAGCAGGATTCCTGTAAATTTGCAACCCCCCTGGGTCTGTGTGGTAATAGTGAGATTCTAACTTCAGAAAGGAAGAATCTTGTATAGTGAGACACAGTACATGCTTAATTTCAGCAAAAAGCTATGACATCACATCATATTGGAAATTGGGTTCTGTCAGTGCCTCAGGGTTTTATTGGGGTGATTTATGTGACAGATAAAAATGTCAGACTTTCCAAAGGAAAGTAGGCAATCCCAGTAATGTCTGTTGCTTAAACACACATTTTAAATATAGTAAAACACTTGTCATTTCCAATCTGCAAATTATGAAATATTCCTAACATCAAAAGCAAAGCTTTCATAGCGCTTTCAAACCTAGGAATCTTACTCTGCACAATACAGTTGCCAAAAGTACAGGGATGTAAGACTGTCCTGCTGTCCCTTTCCAACACTCACTGCTCAAACTTGTTCACTTTCTATCTTCTGTGTAGTTGCTAGACTGCATCGTGTATTCCCTATACCACAATGCCCATAAGTTTGATATTGATGCAATGCTTATCAAGAAGCCTGTAGGTAAGTCGTGATCAAAAAAGTGGCAGAGAGAACTTGAGGACTTGTAAAATGGCAATGTTCCAGCCAGATATATCCCTCAGGGTCACACAGATGCTACTGAGACTACTAATGAGCCTTGTTTTCCTGATTCCCATCCAGGATTCTCTTTATACTGAATGTATTAAGTATGTGTTGAGCTGTTTGGGTGAAATCACATTTTTTACAAAGCAAATTTGAATTATGAAAAGATTTTAATATTGATGTTTATCTGAGTACTAAGGGAAAGAGGGACAGAGATAGTCTTAGGAAAGGACAGTTTGACCTCACCTATACTGGTTCAGGCTTCACTAGAGAATTTGCCTGTTGTGCAAAAGAACAGTGATAGTTTCTTTACAACTTTGTGTTTCTTTCTTTTTTCTTGTCATCTTCTCTTTGTAGAGTATTGAATGCTTTACTTCCAGCCTTAAGGAAAAAGTATTGCATGACGAAAGAAACTGATCTGTCAAAGGCTGCTTGTGATTCTGACTTCGAAACTATTGAGCGTTTGGTTGAGAGGAAGAAGGTGGTGGTTTGGGCTGACCAAACCACGGAACATTCAAACCAAAGTAATCTTCCAGGGATTTCCCTACTTATGACCTTCCCGCAGCTTGGACCCATTCAGTCTATTCCTTGTTGTAAGTACTTTTTATTTTACTTAGTTAGTGGTAGCATTATTTCTGAAGAGACTGGTTATATTCCAAGCTACAGAACAGTTGATTTCTTTTCAGTAGATTTAGTTATTTGATGACCACTATCAAAGAAACTAGCTTCTAAGTAATTTTAATTAACAAGAATCTCCCAGGCCCTACAAGCATGTATATACTGATATTCTGAATAACTAGCAGTTTCATTTAATTCTCATTCTTATTTAAATTTAACTTCAACTTAAAACCAAAGCTTATAATAAATAATATTATATTCTATAATCTAACCTTAAGATCAATACTATAGAATTTAGTATTTTTCTTTTGACATATTAGTTTTCTCTCATTTTTCTAACAAATTGTGCCTAAGATATTTTCATTACAAAACTAGCCTAAAATCTTGGTTTAAAATGACACTTTTTAGCAATGTAGAATTGCTAAAACAAGCAGAATGCCCGGTCGTTGAGATAACCGATATTACCAATTTGGTCATCTTTATATGCTCTTTCTCATTTGCACATTCTGCCTTCCCTTGAGCTCTCTGGGTTTGTTACTCAAATATGTTTTTATTGGGTACGCCTAGCTGTTTGTTAGGTTCTACATGAATGCTAGCACATTACATTTTTGTCTGTAAATTTTCTTGGTTCCTGAGTTTTCTGTAAACATTTTAAATATACCTACATCAGAAATTTACCTCATTTAAACCTTTGAGAGCTTACAAAATAAATTTGCAGTGATTTAATCAGTATTCTATTGAATAGTGCATTAGAGATTATGCCTATGTGTGTTACTCAGAATTTGCATTGTTCTAACCAGATACCTGAGAAAAGTTTTAGTTTGATCAGAGATTTTGCAAAAGATTGAGTCCATGGTCACGTGGGCATACCATGCTTTGAGCAGGAGCACATTGTGAAGGAGTTGGCAGGCAGGGAGCAGAGAATAGGGGGAGGGTTGAGGGCCAGGTATAACCTTGTAATTTATGCCCTCACCTCTTCCTGTGATGTCCAACCTCCAAAAGTTTCTAAAACCTCCCAAAACAGCACCTACTGCTGGTTTAACACATGTGCTTATGTGAGACATTTTATATACAAACCATAGCTGTGTGTATTTGCATCTGTGCTTTCCTAGAAACTGATTTACTATATTAGAAAACAAAAATAATTCTTTTCAGTATAAGTGCTTTGAAAATTTTGAGTCCCCACCCAAAAGTATAAGTTTCTTATGTAGATACCTAAAACCCCAGATGCCGCAAAACTGAAACTGAGAACCAATGTGACAATCAGAAGTTTTGGATTTTGGCTCAATTTGTATCTTTAGGTTACATACATCTATACAAATAGCTCAAATTAAAATGTGTGTGTGTGTGTGTGTGTGTCTTTTTAATTATTGGCTCTGGTGTTTAGGATAAAGGATACAATATCTGTACCTGGTACTTATTAACTAAAGTTCATGTTTAATCTTTCTGTAAACCAGAACAGTGACACGTGCCTTTAGAATTTGTTACTATTTGGATTGCTGATAGCATTACTGCATCATTTATTATATATCTTTGGGTGTTTGTTGAGTTGGCCAAGTTTTTTTTTATTATTTGGGGTTTTAAGGGGAATTTGTTTATTTCCTTTTTTTTTTAATATAAAGAACTCAATTATCTTTTTTCTTTAATTTATTCTTATTTTATATACATTGGTGTTTTACTTGCATGTGTGTCTGAGGGAAGGTGTTGGATCCCCTGGAACTGGAGTTACAGACAGTGTGAGCTGCCATGTGGTTGCTGGGAATTGAACCCTGGTCTTCTGGAATAGCAGCCATCTCTCCAGCCCCAGGAATTTGTTTCTTATAAAAAGTCTTGACTATATAATTCATACTGGCCTGCAACTTGAAGCCAAAGCTAGCCTCAAACTTGAAATCCTCCTGCCTCTGTATCCTGAGTGTTGGTTTATACCACTGCACACAGTGCTTTATCAAATCTTTGGTCGTTCTGTATTTTTACATGGATGTAGTCCATTGTGGAGAATTGTCTAGTGACCTGGCATCCTGAAGCTTTGTTACCTCTCACTCTCAAGTGCTCCCAGTGTGCTGAGCTTTTTTGTCACTTCCTCTGGAAATGCTAAAATGTCTCTTTTGGTAACCAACTTGATACACCTTGGAAGAGGAACCCATTACTGAGAAACAGCCTCTATCAGATTGACCTATGGATATGCCAATGCTTTCTTATTGATGGAGGAGGGCCCAGCCCACGGTAGGTTGTTTGAGAAATCTGACTGAACAGAAGTAGTGAGCAAGCCAATAAGCAGTGTCCATCTATGAGTTCTGCTTCAGGTCTTGTATCCAGGTTCCTATCTTTAGCTCTTGTCCTGACTTTGATAGATAGTGGACTTTATATACTGTAGGCTAAAGTAAGCCCTTTCTCCCTAAGTTGCTTTGGTCAGTAATTATCACGGGAACAGAAACCAGATTTCAACAACTAGCAAATAGCCTTAAAGGAAAGTTAGCTTTAATTTTAGACATGACCATCCTAAGCTTCCAGTTTCTTGTTTTACATGTAGCTCTCAACAGTTTTGTTAACAATTCAGTGCTTTCAAACTGATGTTTTCACTTTGTACAGATTTTTAGTTGTCTTCAGAAGCAAGATTTGTTTGGATTAGCTATACCTATTTTATTAGCAGAAGTTGAAAAACATTTACATGCAATGTATGGATCATATTCTTTTTCTACCTGCAGTTTCTCCCAGGTCCTCTCTACCTCACTACCCATGCAGCTCATGTTCTGTCTTTCTGAATGCACTCAGTCTTGCCTGATCTCAGGAGCTAAGCAGAACCAGGCCTTTTTAGTATTTGGGTGGGGGCCCTCTACTTTTTTTTTTTTTTTTTTTCGGGACAGGGTTATATTAAGGTGACAGGAGTTAGAGATATTATTTGAAAATCTCTCCCCATTTCATTCTCCCTTCTTCCCACTCTCGAATATGTAAATGTAGATTTATTATCATTTTTCTTTTAATGAAGCATTATTATCATTAGAGTTTACCTAGGTGAGATATTTGGAAAGCAACATTTAAAAGTATATTTTCATCTCCTGCACTTGCCTCTTTCTTTATAATGAATTCAAGATGTTGGAAAGGAAGCAGGATTTTAACACAAAGACTGAGAACTACCAACTACCTGCTATTAAAGGTTATTATTATTCCTTATTTTAAACCCCATTTTTCAGTTAGAGTGTACTTGGACAGACTATATTTGTCAGCAGTGAAATAAAACTTTTATTTTTTTTCTGTGAATTACCTACTAATCATTTCAGTAAAATGTTTATTAACAGGCACCTAAGTATGAGGATATTTGTTTATTCATCAATACTACTGAATTACTGGATATAAAGTAATTAGGAAATATTTATATACTTAGGAATATGCATGTAGACATACACACAGAGACACAATAACAATTAAAAATATGGAGGACATGAATTTGAAAAGAACAGGGGCAGTACAGGGGAACATTTGGAAATAGGAAAAGAAAGGCAGAGATGTAATTGTCTCAAAAATATATTCTAAAAGGAAAACGTACATCACAGTGCAAAATAAGCTCCTTCCTCATTGAACTGACCCACTGATAAGGAAAGAGAATGTACTTCAATTAAACGGAGTTTAGAAGTAGATTGCAGATAATATGCTATTTTTACAAACATAATAAGGGTAGCTTTCACTGATAAACTTTAAGGATCTTACAGATACAGCCAGAGTATCTAGACTGTTTTTCAAGTAAGGGGAATAAGCCGTGCTAAATCATAACTTGGAAATTTGTCTGAGTTGTTCCAAGAAAGGCAAGCATGAAACACAACTCTTGAGAAAGGAAGGTAAATGCTAGAATCAGATTAAAGAGAAGGCAGGTCACACAGGGTTATTATTAAGAGTTACTCTTTTATTCTGCATGACATGGGGATGTACAGCAGGATCTGAGTGTAAATGGTGGGCTTGGCTGTGTGTTGTGAGTTGGGTAGCTACAATGTTGAGAATATGTTATGATAAGGAAGGGCTGGAGGATTAGGAGACTATTATACTATCAAGTAAAGATGAAATTACCTCAATTACTGAAACAATAGTATGGCTCATAAGATTTTTAAACTTGACATCGGAAAGAATGTGTTCATGTTAAAGGGGTTAGAAAAGACATCACCTGGAATGGGTTTTCAGAGACATTAGTTTATATATATATATGTAGGAATTTAGTATGGGGTTAGTTAAATTTGACTTAAGGTGTATCCAAAATGGAGATGTCCTTGTAGGCAGTTATGAATATGAAATTCATGAGAGAGTTATGATTAACTCTAGCTTTGATGATTGATAACATTTACATAGTATTTAAAGCTGTTGGACTGGATAAAAAAAAAACTATGGGATATTAGCTCTTTCATATATTTTATCCCTTGCCTTTAACTTTGAGGTGTTGTGGTATTCTTTTGGGTGCTAAAATTTTACTTAATTTTTTTCCTCGATGCTCTTGTAATCATTTCCCATCCATAAATTGTGTAGATGTTTGTAGGTACCTTTGTTTTACATATATTAAGTGTAGGCACATGTGATTTTATTATTGAAATCTCTACTCCTCAGAGCGGGTAACTGTTTTTCTTTTTTTATTTTTATGTGCACTTTTGTCTGAGGGTATCATCCCCTGAAACTAGAGTTGTAGACATTTGTGAACTGCCCATATGCTGGGAATTAAACTCAGATCCTCTGAAAGAGCAGCCCTTGCTCTTAGCCACTGAGCCAGCTATCTCTCCAGCCCTGGTAGCTGTTTTTCTATTGTTTTGTTGTAGAGTTTATTTATAGTAATTCTAGTTCCTCTTCCTTATTCATTGTTTTGAAATGGATTTTGTTGTAACACCTAGAAGCTGAATGTTAAGCTAATTATTTTTTAATTCTAAGGAAATAAACTCTGCTTCAAAATTCATAGCTTAGTCTTCATTCTTTTTTTACTACCAGATTTTCTCTGTTTGCC